TCTCTCAGTCCACATCTCCATCCACTCTCCCCTCCATATCTTATGTCACAGCTTTATCTTTCCCTATGCTGTTTGTTCACACTTTCTGGCCTTTGTTTCTGCCTTTCTCTCTGCCTAGAATACCCTTTCCCCTTCTCTGCCAGGAAAACTACTCTGCATGCCTTGGAACCCAGCTCAAATGTCATATCCTGGAGGAATGAATGATTTAAGTTCCAATACACTTTGTATGTATATAGCTGTAATTACTTCTTCACTCATCTGATTAACCCTGCACTGACACGATCTCTAAGAATGTTTTATTAAAATTTGTATCTCCAAGGCCTAGCACAGATCATACTAGGGACTACTATTTGTTAGGTGGGTGGATAGGAGTTAGCCTGGACCATTGCCTGACAGAACAGGGACCCTTCTCCCTCTGAGCATTTCTCTGCAGAACCACTACAAACTGAGGACCATCTCTTCTCAGTCTGATGCTTTGCTCTCCAGGCTCTGTAGTGAGCTTTGTACTTTTAGATTTCACTGACCAGTAAAATTTCAAAAGTAATTTTGGAGACCAAAATAGGATTGCCAGTTTTTAATTTTTTCAAATTTAAAGACTTTAAAAAAATTATCATCTACTTTTTAAAAAGTCACTATAACACCTCAAAAGTAGGAAGACCATAACCTTAGCCTAGAGAATAGTTCTTTGAATTAAACACAGTTAGCCTTTTGAAAAGCCTACCACATCAACCTTGTTTTTTCTCATTCCATGATGAAAAATTCATCCCTGTTTTATCAGCTCTAGAATAATGTTTGGAAACCACTGATTTTGACCTTTGCTTCTGAGAGGTGGCTCCTGCAATCTTCTTGACTCAAGAATGAGTTTTAGGCCTCATGACAGGAATAGTCCTGTAGGATCTTCCCATGGCTTTTTCTTTTGTGGGTGTAGAGAGAAGTACCTGGGAAGAAGAGACCAACTAATGTATATTGAGCACCTCTATGCTAGTCACTTGGCACGTATATGAGGTGCACATCTCAGTTGACAAACTCAAGAATGCAAAAAATATGCAATTTTACTTCTTTGCTTACCAAATTTATTATCTATCCAAGTACGTTCGACCTAGTGACAGAAATACGTCTTAATTCAGGGTCCCCTCCTCCCTTTCTTTCCCTAGGGGTTGCATCTCTGATCCAGGGGACTGATTTAGTGTGTCAACGGGGCTGGATTAAACTTCCCAAGGTCTTAAGCACTGAAAAAATTATGTTGCCTCATATGTAACTGAAAGTTTTTTAAATAATTATTTTATAGTTTATTTTTTCCCAACAAGTTCTGGGTTTTTTTTTTTTCTCCTGAAATTGATCACTTCACTGCTTTTTATTCATTCAAAAAATTTACTTACTTCTTGGGTGGATGTTTTGTTTTCCTTGTGCCCTTGGCAAGTTCTTGACCTACCTATGGGGTCATCTGGTCCTGCTCATTGGCCCTCAGCATCCACCTGCTTGTATTGGATTATATTGCAGGTCCACGCAGGTCACCACGGAGTCTTCCTCACGCTGTCCACACAAGACTGCCTCACATCTGAAGGCTCTTTATGACACCTGTGGGCCACTCTGGGTGAGAGTTTATCTTTTTAGTGTAAAACTTCCATCCCTATTAAAAGGTAACACTTACTATTATCAGTCATCTTACTTTGTACAGACAAAGGAGCTGAGGGGGTACATGGGTGGATAACAGGCAGGGAACAGGAGGACACTATATCACGTTATTTTCCATTGGTACACGTTCTTTTGTTTATTTTTTATTTAACATTCCTTTCTGATTCCTGCACTAGACTATCGGTCTATGAGAACAACCCATCTGTCTTATTCATTACTATAACCCCAGAACCTAGAACAGTGCCTAGCACATAGTAGGCTGTTAGTAAATACTGTTGATCAAATGAACGAGAATGAATGAGATAAGGACAACACAAAGAGGTAGAAGGGGATCAGAATGAGGGTGCTGGAATTGCTGAAAATAAACTTCAATTATTTTACAATTCTGGAAATTTATGTTAGCTCTTCCTTGGAGAGTCTCCTTCCATTGCAGCAAGAGATGTCTCTTCTACAGCATTCCTTGTGTTGTTTTCTGACTGTTGCCTGTGGACTAGCATTTTCTTTCAGCTGGAAAATAAACTATTTTGGGCAAAAAGGATCATATACAGCTTTGCAGCCCCCCATGAGGTACAGCACTTTAAGAGCTAAAATATGCTAGTTTACTGAATGAATGAATGACTGGAACTTGAGTCCTAAATATCCAGAGAATCCCTGAGGAATGGGCTCAGTGTTATAGGGGCTAAATCCAAAGTGGTACCTTCTAGACTAAGTTTTATCCAGCCTCAGCATTCTACATCCACTTCCTGGGGTGCAGTACCTCCTAGTGGAAGTCCAGGGCTGCTGCCTCCTTCCTAGATGCTCCCAAACATGGGCCCTCGGTGTCTCCCTCCCAGAACTCCATCTTCTTCTCCTCAAAACCTCAATGTCACCCTCATCAATGAAGCCCAGTAGACGATGAGGCCCAGCAGATTCAGGCAGGTCCTTTCTAGTAACCCCAAGTACTCACAAGGTAAATAATGAAGGGCTGCATCAGAGCCAGACAGTTTTCTAGAGCAGACCAGCACCTCAAACTTTAAGGTGCAAATGAATAATCTGGAGAGAATCTTGTTAAAATGAAGGTTCTGATGCAGTAGTTCTGGGTTGTGGACCAAGATTCTGAATCTGAACTAGCTTCCGGGTGACACCAAAGGATGCTGGTCCAGTCTGTACTGCACCCTTGTGGTGACTGGCAGCTACAGCAGTAGCAGCTCCCAGATGTACCAAGTCTGACCAGCAAGCCACGGGGTTGATCATTTAAGTAAACATTCTGAAGCTTATGAAGTACATTTCTCCCCTTCAAGGTTTGTCCCTTGAAGGTTTGCCTGCCTCTTTCCTGGTGCTGAGACCCTAGAGAAAAGCTCCGACCTCCAGCTGGAAGGGGTAGGGGAAAGGACACATTCCCTGAATCAGAAACTGCAAAACGTGGTTTAAATCAAGAGGTCAAGGGGAGGGAGCTGACTGACTGCTCAGAGGGTGTCCCAGAGCAGCAGTCTCTCATCCCAGGCCAGAGTCTCTAGCTCTCAGCTTTGTCAGCCTGGAAACTCCATTTTGTCAGTACACCCAGAGATAAGCAGACTCAAGGGAAATGAATCATACCAGCCAGACTCTTAAGAGTCTAAACCAAATGCCAACAGTAAGAAGAACAAACGCCAACTAATCAGAAACTTGTTCAGAGCAATACTTTCCCTGCAGGAATGTCTACGTGGGCTGGCAAATCATTACCAAAAGTCTGTTTGGGGGCCTGAAATCAGAGCAAGGGGAATCGAGTGAGCGACCTGAGAAGAGGATATTATGACATTTTGATAGCTGGATGCACCCATCTCCATGGATAATTGCATACCTGCCAAGCAGAAGTTAGGAGAGCACCTTCCCCTTCTGTTACTCTTCCTGCAACTGGGAACTTTCTGTTCAGATTTCTTTAGTGCATTCCTGCCCTCAAATACACTTCAGTTGCCTTGGATGGATGTGGATGGCTAGAGTGGGTTACCTCCATTGATGTATGTTCGTAGTTTTTATTTTCTTGGTTGACTGTTTTTACTCAAAATACTCTTAGGAAGTGATTGCCCCAGAATTTCTCCCCAGATTCTGAGAGCAGCTCATTGCCCAGCACTGAAGCACCAGCAGGAGAGGAATGGGGGTTGGAGGGAGGGCCATCAGAGAAAAAGCTGGATCCTTTCCTTGCTTCCCACCCTGACATCTTATTCTAGGCTACAGATTTTTAAAAACTTCAGTACAGTTATTTGGTAAGCGGTCAGAGGAACAGAAGTTGTCACATTTCTGTTGGCTGGTTCTTTTTTTGCTGGTGATGTTGATTTTCTATACATATAACACTTAAATCAGTGTCCAAAGTCTGGCAAGTTCTCAGGCTCACCTTCCTTCATTCTATTCTCTCATGGTCTGAGCTGTCCTGCTGGGTGGCTTTGAAGTCATCAAACTTATGGAAGTGGGAGTGGGGAGACCTGGAAAATTATAGCCCTCCACAGTTTCTTGCTTTTACAGGCTGTTCAGTAAGCCTTTGTTGACAGACTGTCAGTAAACGGAGCACAACCCCACTGCAATGTCCATCTCTCCCAGGAATGCTTCCTGACTTGCTGTGCCACCCCCAGGTTCCCTGGGAGAAGCTGGAGAGGCTCATTGCTCACTGAGTCCTATCTCATTCCCTCCTTGACAGTGATACAGCCGCTGCCAGCCACCTGAGAGCCAAATCCAAAACATATTTCCATTTTTGCCTAATGCCTAAATGACAGACCTAAATTTGTTGAGTCTAGATTTTTTAAGTGCTCATAAAACAAAGTAACAAATAAAATTTGCTCTAAACCTGAGGCAGATTAGGAAAAATCCTCAACGAGAATATCCTCACCCAGGAGGCTGTGGAGATGGAGGCCACAAAGTCCTCTTTCGCACCGTCATAGTGGCTACGGGGATCAGCACCTCCAGAGCAGTCAGAGTTTTCACTCGTCACACTGTATTGTCTACTCTGCACTCTTCTAACGCTTAATAAATGTTTGCACAGTATTCCTATAATCCCTGCACTCCAAAGTATTGACGTTTTAGCGAGCGTGAGGGCTTTTTAGAAAACCCAGTAGATGACTTCACCATTGACAGGGGCCAAATGAGGAAAGATCATGAGTACAACACGGAATAACCTCCCCCAAAGTAAACAATCATACAGGAAGGAAGATGACGATTGGCTGATTCACTGAAGACCCTGCGTTCACCCTTCGCCGCGTTATAATTTCGGCCCTGACCTAACGTCAAGCAGCAGCTGGGGCCTAACCGCCGAAGAATGTGGCTTCCGGAATCTAAAAAGGCGGCCCTGCCGTGCCATTGTTCCCACATTGCCGTGACTCGGATTCGAACCGAGGTTGCTGCGGCCACAACGCAGAGTACTAACCACTATACGATCACGGCGAGCTACTGGGACGCCACGAGGAGCGCATCATTGAGTGTCGTCCTCGTCTAGGTGGCTGCCGCTCTCGCCTTCCCAAGCCGCTCACTGTCGACCAGGCCCCTCTGGCCCTGGCGCCCAGCCCGAAGTGGAGTAGGGGCGCCGTGGACGCCTGGCCGAAGTCTCTGCTGGTCGTCCGCACGACCCGTGAAGGAGAGGACATGAAAGTCCTCTGCAAACTAAAGGACTCCTAGGAGGCCAGGCCTACGTCCGGGACTCTCACGCAGCCTGTACGAATGTGAGGCCCGGGGGTCGCTCGAATGGCGGCGCTGGGCCCCTATCACACCCACCGTGCCCTGGCGCTCACGCTATCTGAATGGGCTCTTGCTAGGAATGGGGCCGCCTCTTAAATCCCACAAGAAGGAAAATCAGTTCGGACCCAGCCGCACAACTTCCTTCGAGATGCGGAGTAAAGGGAACTCGCAGAAAACACACGCCTCGGTAATGAAGCAGTGGGATCTGGCGGCCCGGTGAGTGCTTACGGATATCTAGAAAGCAAGCGAGCAGTGCGCCTGCGTCCCTTCAGGGAGGGGCGAGGTTAGAGATGGGCGGGAACCAGCAGTGACATGGCAAAGGGGCGGGGCCTTAAACAGAGAAGAGCTTAGGCGAGAAAAAAAAACGCATGGGTCCCCAGTAGCGCGCCGTGATCGTATAGTGGTTAGTACTCTGCGTTGTGGCCGCAGCAACCTCGGTTCGAATCCGAGTCACGGCATTGCGAGAGCAGTGGCACGGCAAGGGGTCGGCTTTTTAACGCTCTCCTCCATTTTTATCTTCAATTTGTAATAACTTCCTTGAAAATGGATCCCAATCCCCTTGTGACAGTTGGAAACAATGTTTACGCCAGGTTTCGCTAAATTGGACTTAGGAAGCATATAGGCTTCCGCTTACCCTGGCCTACGCACGTTATCCTGCCCAGCCCAGACAAAGCACGGAACACTCACAAGGCCAAGAAGTGTTATAATGGACATATGTACCAATGTCCATAGCAACACTGAAAACGGGCTCCCAATAATAGGAAGAGAACGCTTCGCAGAGGAGGTGACCTTTGAAGTAGCTCTTAAAGGCAGAAAGGGAATTTGTCAAACAGCCAGGATTGTCAAGCAACCAGGATTATCTCGTGTGCTAAGGGCTCCAAAAGAAACAATCATAATTCCTCTTTGTAAGTCTTCTCTCTTCCCCACCCCCACTACGCCCACAGGGCCCGACAGGTAGCAGGCGCCTCTCAAGGACTTGTTGAGTGAATGAAAGCAAGTAACCAGGGAATGGGAAACGACACTGAGGGAAGGCCACAGGATGAGCTAGACAAATTTCCCGCAGTCTCGGGGGTGGGGATGAGAGGCGGAGGAGTGAGAGGATTCTATTCGTGTTTAGCAAGATCCCTCTGGCGGCTCTGAAGGGGGGCAGTGATCAGAGCAGACAACACTGAAGAGACCGGTGGTCTCTCTGCATTCACTTGTTAGAACCAGGGGTATGTTCTCATTTTAGCAAAAAGCCACTGCCTACTGTGGACTCGGCCTGGTTCTAGGCGCCATGGAGGCGAGAGCACTGATGTACAAGAAGAAGAATCAGACCCAGTCCCTGCTGCGCCCAGGGACGCAACAGAGGAGGGCACCGTGTCCGGCGGGAGCCCTACGGAGGGACGAGTCAGGGCCGTCGCGGGAATAAGAGAAACAAGGAAGCGGGTGCTGGAGGCGGGGAGAACGGCAGGGTGTGTTCACTGAGTCCCTTCTAAGTGGACAGCCCAGTTCTGCGGGCATCTACATTATCCGTAGAGAGAAGCCCTGAGGAGCGCACCCCGGCAGGTTTGGGGTCGCTGGAAGGGTCTCCGGGACAGAGGAGATGGGTGTCCTCCAAGGAATGAGAGTTACACAGCTTGTGAACACTCAGCTCCGGCCAGTCCCGTCTCTGGATGCCCAAGTGGTACCCCCTAAACTCTTACATGGAACCCACCCTTTCCCACTGCATCATCCCCACCTCCCGTGGCTAATGGGCCAAAACAGGAGAGAACCAGACCAACTGACAAGAGAGCAATGCGCCTGCGCATTCTCAGACCCGGCCTTAGGCCGGAACCCGCCCCATAGGTGGACCTTTTGGTGACGTGCTGAATGGGAAGGCCTTTAACTGTTGAAGAAGACAATCAGAAAGGGCCGCTGACAGGTCCCCGGTAGCTCGCCGTGATCGTATAGTGGTTAGTACTCTGCGTTGTGGCCGCAGCAACCTCGGTTCGAATCCGAGTCACGGCATTGTGGGAACAATGGCACGGCAAGGGGCTTATCTTTTCTAATTCCTTTTTTTCCCCCCAGCCCATAACACTTTGTATAAATCGTGACTCATTTTTTAAAAATGAAACGCTGCATCTCTCTCCTCTGAAAACTGAAACACCTCTATGATCACCACCTTCAGTAATTCTCATTTAATTATCTGAATACAGCTTTAGATCAAACAGTTGTAACCCCTTACCTCCTGAAAATAAATGGAAAATCAGTGTCTAAATCATTCTCCTACACCAACAAAACAGCGCCCCTGTGGCCTTGCGATTTTTTTCCTTTTCATACATTTATTTTAAAAAATGGTGTATTCATTATCAAATAGAGAATACATATGCACAAGCCAGTGAAAAGTGTCTCCCTCTCATTGTTCACCCTATCTACCAATTATTGCCAGTTTCCAATATATTTTTATGTGGCAGTCTTTGTGTAAATAAATATTTATATATGTATATATGTAGGCAAATATATTCCCCCCTTGCTTCTTGCATTATACAGGTGACCTCTTCCCTTCCTCCTCCTCACCCTCAGAAGTCAGACCTGAAGTGTCAGATTTGCATTGGTAGACAATCTCCCTTTACAGGAAAGAGTATACATACCCAGGGGAATCTCCACCTGATCCAGTCCTTTTTCTCCCCAGGCACTGGCTCGCAGCTAGGGAGGGTGGGACACTATTTGGGGTGATAAGATAAGGGAAAGGAATTCCTTACTGTGCTTGTAAAAAACTTTTGTGAGCCTGGGCTCTGCTGGGAATCAGCCCTATTTTTATTTCAGGTTGGAAAGTCAGGGAAGCCTCCTGGGTTTGGAGTTGGGAAGAGGGACTAGACTTGATAGTTCATTTGGAGACGCTCCACTTCCATCTCTTATCTTATTGTCAGGATCCAACTTAAATCACAAACCACTAAAGTTAGAAAATTCAAGTTCATTGAAGGCAGAACTGAATCCTACTATACTCGTGTTCCAAGAATACAGCCTCTCCATAAATATTTGAAAAGAGATTGCTTGAGTCCATAAATGAGAGAAGTGGCCCGGTTTTCTTTATGGTTGCATCTGAAGTTGTATTCTTGCAACACGGAACCATGGTTTTTTTATAAATTTATTTATTTATTTTTGGCTGCGTTGGGTCTTCGTTGCTGCGCGTGGGCTTTCTGTAGTTGCGGCGAGCGGGGGCTACTCTTCGTTGCGGTGCGCAGGCTTCTCATTGCAGTGGCTTCCCTTGTTGCGGAGCACGGGCTCTAGGCGTGAGGGCTTCAGTACTTGTGGCTCACAGGCTTAGTTGCTCCGTGGCATGTGGGATCTTCCCGGACCAGGGCTCGAACCCGTGTTCCCTGCATTGGCAGGCGGATTCTTAACCACTGCGCCACCAGGGAAGTCCCCTATGTTATTTTTTAATTTTTTTAAAAATATATTTTTAATTAATTTATTTGGCTGCATCAGGTCTCAGTCGCGGCACGCGGGCTCTAGAGCGCGGGCTCAGTTGCCCCACAGCATGTGGGATCCCAGCTTCCCGACCAGGGCTCGAACCCTCATCCCCTGCATTGGAAGGTGGACTCTCAACCACCGGACCACCGGGGAAGTCCCCCCCCGCCATGTTATTTTATATCAGACAAATAGAAAACACGGCCCAAATGAAGCTCCATTTACATGCAGAATCTCTAAGAACAGAGTGCATATATGAGTATACTGGGATATGTTTGTCCTCTCAAGGTTGTGGACAGAGATGGACCCAAGGCAAGGCTGGAGAGCAAAGCCAAGGGCCAGACTTAGAAGACAAAACCAGAAGGAATGGGAGCTGAGGATGGGACTGGGCATTCAAAGTCAAGCAAGTAGAAGGGAGGGACACCCCACTTAGTACCCAGTAAGAAAAGTGAGCTCTAAGGTCTAAGTGTTGGAACATGCGAAAATTTAGGAGGTTAAGGGAGGAAGAGAGGATTTGCCTTAAAAGAAAGGAGGACAGTGTCATTTTAAGGAAAGTTTGGGAGAAGACAGTTGCAAGCACAGAGGAGGTCAGCAGACTCAGGTGCTGCAAAGGAGAAAGAGGAATGAGACAAAATAACTGGGCTTAACATTTAGAAGTCGTTGTTGACTTTTAAAACTTTCTATGAGAGCAGATGGATAACGTGTATCAAGGGTAAGATAAAAATGTACACTCTTTGCCCCAACAACTCCACTTTTGGGAATCTTGTCAAAGGAAAAAATCCTAAACTTGAAAAAGTTATCCACATAAAGATGTTTGTTACAGTTATTTAGAAGGGAGGAGAATGGAAATAGCCTAAATGCTCAACAAATAAAGTGATGAGCTAAACTGAGGTATGCTCATTTGATGAGATATTAAATTGCCATTTTTAAAGTACAAAGTCAATTTTAAAGTACCATTTCCAACTAAAAGGAGTTAGACTCCCTTAAAAAAATGACTGGTTACATTTTGCAGCAGGGTAAGTACAAGTTGAGTCTGGAACATCTTGTGTGAGAATGCAAGTAAGTGTTTAAAGATTGGCGAGACCAAGTCAAAAGAATGCAGAAGCCTCTTGAAGGGGCTCCTGCTGGCCCAATTTGGGACAGTTTTGAGCATCAAACAGAATGATGATGGTAATGGATTATATCACATTGAATTTTTTTTAAAAAAAGAGTTTTTGAGACCATGGGGAGGGGGGAGGGGGAGGGAGGAGGAAGAGGAGAAACTCTTCTTTACAGAAATGAATGCCAGATAACAAATGCAGGGACTTCCCTGGTGGCGCAGTGGTTAAGAATCCGCTGCCAATGTAGGGGACGTGGGTTCGAGCCCTGGTCTGGGAAGATCCCAGATGCCGCGGAGCAACTAAGTCTGTGCACCACAACTACTGAGCCCGTGCTCTAGAGCCCACGAGCCACAGCTACTGAGCCCGTGTGCCACAACTACTGAGCCTGTGCTCTAGAGCCCACGAGCCACAACTACTGAGCCCGTGTGCCACAACTACTGAAGGCTGTGTGCCTAGAGCCCGTGCTCCACAACAAGAGACGCCACCACGAAGCCACCGCAATGAGAAGCCCGTGCACCACAAGGAAGAGTAGCCCCCGCTCCCCACAACTAGATAAAGCCCGTGCACAGCAACAAAGACCCAACACAGCCAAAAATAAATAAATAAATAAATAAATAAAAAGTTTTAAAAACCCACAAATACAGAATGACAGAGTCATCATTTTGTGATCCCCAGTGTAATAACGAATGTAAGCATAGATCATCAATGGAAGCTAAAACCACTGGGTAAAACATGTTGGGAGCTAATAGTCTTAGGTTATCACACCACAACTTACTTTGTGAAATTGTGAAATGGAGAGATCTGATGGACTCCAACTTAACCAAGTGATCAAGCCTAGCATCACCAAATGAAGGACAAATGTGCACTATTGGCTGGCCCGCCAGTGTAACACACTAGAAAGTCCACAACATCCCTCATGTAATGGTCTTTTAAAAACTGTCTAACCTGAATCTAATCATGAGGAAACTATGGAAAAATCCAAAATGTACGACATTCTACATGACAACTGCCCTGGACATTTCAGAATGATCAATGTCATGAAAAACAAACTAGCAAGAAAAAAATGGGGAACAGTTCAAGATTTAAAGAGATTAAAGAAACAAACAAGTGCAACAGGGGAAGGAACCTTGATAAATCCTGAATCAGGACAAAAAAACAAACAAACAAACAAAAACCCCAACTATATATATATGACATTTGGGGGGAAATGGAAAAAAATTAATGTAGACTGCATAATAGACAATACTATTATGGTAATGGTCTAATGGCCCCATGCAAGAATTCCTTATTCTTAGGGAATGGCTGCTGAAGTATTTAGAGCTGAAGTATCATGATACCTGAAACTTGCATCAAACGGTTAAGGGGAAAAAAGTGTGGGGGGATAGAACAAATGTGGCAAAATGTTAAAAAGTAGTGAATCTAGGTGAAGGCTATACAGATTTCCACTGTACTTTCTTTGAATTTTTCTGTAGGTTTGAAATATTTTGAAAAAAAATTGGAAGAAAATAAAGCTTACATAATAAAAATGGGGAAAATATGCAATGTTAAGTGGAAAAAATAAGGACATAAAATTGTGTATACCACAATTATAGCTATATAAAAATACGAACAAGAGGAATGATCTTTATTCATTTCAACATTTGTTAAGCTCCTGCCACACGACAGGCTCTGCACTAAGTGATGGGAACACCCCCGGCTTCCTTTCAGAATCCTGAGTCTATGGTACAATGCTTAACATGCTTAACTGCAAGACTTTGGATATGGCAAACTCCACCCAGGTCTTAGAGGAGGCTTGCCGAGAGGGCCTCACCTCTGTATCCTTGGTTCCTAGCAAGCTTCCTGGCCCCATGAGGTGCTCAACAATGCCTGATTCCAGGAGCACACACTCTGGTGGGGGAGGAAAGTGCATTAACAGATAGTTTAAAACAAGAGTAAGTTCATGGTGCACATAAGGTACTACAGCTTTTTAATTATCATTTAAACTCTACCCTTATGATATCCTCCCCACTCTTCATGTGACTTTACTTCCTACCCTTCCTCACTATGAACCCACCCCTTCTTTATGGTAGGCTGGTTCCCACCTCAATCCCTTCACTCAACTCATGCTGACCTCCTGGCTTGGAATGATCTTTCACTCCTTTGCTTCATCTGTCCAAATCCTACCCAGCTCAGGTCTACCCCCTCCATGAAGCCTAACTATCTTTTGTGTAAACTTGATTGATTCCATTCCTCTGAGCTGTCAGCAGCTTAACTCCATATTTCTTAAACATATGTGGCTTCATTTGACATCTACCATGGTAAGCACTTTACAGTTTTTAAATCCTGTTCCATCATTTCCATCATTTCATATCTATCATTTCCCCTAATCCTCACACAACAGTCATCATGCCCTTTGCAGATATAAGGCAAGTGAAAATCAGTGGCATTGAGTATCTTGCCACTGATCCTCAGAGATCTGGCTACAGCCCACAATTATTGTTGTCAGACACCTGGTGATTGAGGAGACCCTCCAATATGCATCAACTGGACAATTCTTCTAGAATTATTATCTCTATGTCCAGCTTTGATTTGTTAGTCAATTTTTTAAGCTGCACATTTTTACAATGTGCACGTTATTTTCTCTATTATACCTCATGAAACCAGACACAATATCAGATATTTCAGTATCTCCTACAGTCCTGCTACTCAAAGTGTGGTGGGAGGGCCAGCTGCATCTGTATCACCTGGGAGCCTATTGGAACTACACTGGGACCCCATCCCAGCTAGACCTACAGAATCAGAAACTTCAATTTAACAAATTCCCCAGGAGATTCGTGTGCATATCGCAGTTTGGAAAGCACTGTCCTATAACACCAAAGAATATGCACAAAGCAGAAACTCAACAAATATTTTGAGACCTGGGGCCCTGGGAATCCTAGGGTATTCTCAGTTTTGCCATCACATCTTACGCTGCTCCAGCTTTGAGCTCCCTTCCCTGTGTGGCCTCTCGTGGCTCTTTGCTCCCCCACAAGACAGATATGAGTCTAAGAGTGAGGGAGACACTGAGGTAGTGCTCAGAGGGATGCTGGTGAGGTGAAGCTGCTACCTTTCCATCAGAGTCAAAAGCAAATGTTGGCGTTGGCCTCAGGGCTACAACATTCCTGGGGAGAAATTGGTTTTATTTCTAAGACAAAAATGCTTGAGCATCCGAGCCTCTGGAGGATAAGGGGTTTATGATAGACAACACTGGAACTGTTTCTAGACTTGATTTATTGACTTGTCTGTTTCTATTCTGTCACTAAGCTGATTGGCAATGCAACCTGGGACTTGAAGGGATTCCTGCGTATATGCTTGCGCTGCCATCAGGGCCGGGTGGGAGGCGTTTGTGCAAGGGCCGTTTGCCTGTGAGGAGGGCGTGTGTGGAAACCACTCGGGAGAAGTGGGTGCCTCTAGGGAGCTGACTGTCTGTGATGTGAGATGTCTACCTGGAGTGGGTTCGAGTTTGTGCACAGAGAGCAGTTGGATGGGAGGAGGTAGGTGGGGCTCCGAAGGCAGCACGCCGGAGCCGGTAGTTCCAGACACATCTTACAGAACAGCCCCTGTCTCGCCCCCACCCCACCCCAGTTTTTCCTCCCAGGATATTATTTCCCAGTTGGGAGGCCTTGCGGAGGGTAAAGGAGGGGCGGAAGGCGCCGGAGGGCCAGGAACCCCGGAGTCCGAAGACTCCCCTCTTGGCGTCTCGCGCGAGGTGGGAGCTGGGGAGGGGGAACAGACGTGCACAGGTGCGCCCCCAGGGGGGCGCGCGTGGCGACACGTGGAGGATTCATCCTCAGTTCATCCTCAAGAGTCGCATTCCCTGCCCTAGGGTCGCCACTTCACTTCTCCGTCCACACAGGCTGGAAGCCCCCGCCCGCTCCTCTCCGCCGGGCGGAGGGAGGTCGCCTCCTTTAGGTAGCGGAACCCCGCCCCTCCCTTGTTACTGACGAGCCCCGCCCCCTCTCGCCGCCCCGCCGAGCTCCGCCCCCGCCCCGCCCCCTGCCCGGCCACAGAGCTCCCCACGTTCAGTCTGGCTGGCCTCATGTTACTGAGCGGAGCTTCTCCTGCCGGCTCCGGCCCGGGGCCGCGGGCGCAGGGGAGCGCGGGGGGCGGCCCGGCTGGATCGCGCCGGGGCGCCGGAGGTGCGGGAACCGGCCCAGGAGGGGGCGGCAGCGGCGGAGTGGCCAAGTGGCTCCGGGAGCACCTGGGCTTCCGCGGGGGGGGCGGCGGCGGAGGTGGGGGCAAGCCGGCGCCCCCGGAGCCGGACTACCGCCCCCCCGCACCTTCCCCGGCCGCGCCCCCCCGCACCTCCCCCGGACATCTTGGCCGCCTACCGACTGCAGAGGGAGCGCGACTTTGAAGACCCTTACTCCGGGGGGCCGTCCGGCTCCGCTGCTCTAGCCACCCCTGCCGTTCCCGGCCCCACGCCGCCCCCGCGCCACGGCTCGCCACCCCACCGCCTTATTCGGGTCGAGACCCCTGGCCCCCCAGCGCCTCCTCCCGAGGAACGGATCTCTGGACCACCCGCCAGCAGCGACAGGGTGAGTGCCACGCCGGTCGGGGGGTTGCAAGGAGGAGAGGTGGTCGGAGGTATGGGGCTTTCGAGAGGGACAAAGGTGGCCTGACCGGGGCCGGGTCCCTTGGCGTCACGGTTCCTGGCGGACACGATCTTAGTCCCTGACCCCGGGGCTCGGAGCCTTCATCCACCTTTGTTCAGATTCTCGACCTTCTAATTTGGGACGTGCGCCCCAAACTCTGCCTCTTTCCCTTATTATAGCCCCTGAACTAGTGACCCTCCCCCTCCCAATCTCTGCTCTCCTCATCGCAGACCCCGGAGCCTAATCGGGGAGCCTTTTTTCTAACGGGATTTGAGCCCGTTTCTCCCCAGTTTATGGCCTTTCAATCCTCTGGGAGCAGCAGCTCACTGCCCTTTGATCTCTGACCCCTCCCCCTCAGGGCAGAGCCAGCACCAAGCTCCACTCCTTCTCCTGTTAAAAAAGCCCAAGCATCCTTGGAGGTGCTGAAGCCCCAGGGAGGAGGTGAAGGCTGGGTTTCTCCCTGTGGACACGGCAAGAGCTGGCCTTTGCCTTACCCAGTGGGACTGGAGCCGGGTGGACTGTTGTTCTCAGGAAGCCAGAACAGGCAGTATGCAGCTCTTCACCAAGGATGCTAACCACTGAGGTCCAGGCAGGTCCACTCCTGCACTCCTTCCCTTATCCCCCCAGGTATGCGGACAGTCAGTGCTCAGAACCTGTTGCCCAGAAGGGGCTAAGCAACTGAACCCACTCCTCCTCTCCTCTTGGCCTCCTGCTCCCTGGGTCCATTCTGAGGGTGGCTAGAGCTTTTTGTGGATCTGAAGGCTTGGGGTAGAGAGGCGGGCTGGGCATTTACTGTTTCCAAGAACATCCACTGTGGCTCAAAGGCCCCTGGTAGAGAAGACACCCCCTGCCCAACCTCAGTGCGGCCCTATCCCTCCCTGACAGCTGAAAGTCATCCCCAGGTCCCTGTAGTCCTAAATTCTAGGACGATGACTTGGTGGGCTGCCCTAGCTCTACTGTCCCTCTTCACTTACCCCTGGGAGCTTGCTCTGGGGCTGACTCCCCTCTCCTCAGCAGAGAACACAGTTTTCTTTGATTGGAGAGCAAAGTTGCTGTCTGAATCTGTTGGCTCCAGGGCTGAGGCTTTCAGCTGAGAGTGCGCCACTGTTCTGCCTGATTCTTGGGTAAGAGAGATGTGTCAGGGTCAGAGCAGAAGCCTCAGGAATGTGAATTATTTTTCCCCTAGTTCCTGCCATGGGGCATGGCTACCCATCCTGGGCCAGGACTGTTCGCCTGCAGAAGGAGCCTATGCTTTCTTCACATGTCCTTAGGCTCCTCTTCCTAATTTTCCCCGATGGTGGTGGTGGCAGTGAGGCAGAGGGAGCATTAGGCTTTGTTCTTACTATTGATCAGTTAGTCTCCTCCTCCCTGACCACTGCCTGCTGGCATGTGGGCCTGAACTGTCCCTGGCCCTCCTCCTCTCTGTATTATCTTGGAATGGCATAACAGGCTGCCCACCAAGCCGTGGGCTCCTCCAGGACAAGGGCCTTATCCTCATATTGTGTCTCCCAAGTGCCTGACACACTGTTTGGCATAAAGAGGGGTGGTGCATAAATATCAATAAGTCCTGAGTGGTGACTCTCCATTGCTAGGGTGACCTGAGGGTCAGAGACTCCCCTAACTAAAGTTCCCCTTGTACACTTCCCCACAGAGACCGCAAGGAAGGGGCTGTGCCCACACAACCATGCAGAAGCCCACAGCCTCTTCTCACCAAGGGCATCCATGCCTCTCCCTGGGTCGTCTCTGTGATCTGTGGGCTGCTCAGACCTTGGGGGCTAAGAGGTATCTGACTCCTTTGTCAGCTGCAGGGACAGGAATGAAATCTGGCAGGATTTCCTAGGAGCCACACAATCTGTGGTTTAATGAGTGTGTGAGAAAGACTCAGTATGCCATCTGAGCTGGCCCAAGGGCAGGGATGCTGACCTGGGGGCTCCCACCATTCAGAGACAGCAGCTCCACCTCTTCAGGAGCGGAGTTTGGATCTTCTCAGGAAGAGCCCAGACTAGGTACCTGAGCCCCTTAGCCTAAACCCAAGGGTCAGCACCTGCCTGCAGAGCTCACACAGGATTGTGCCTGCTGGATGGTGAGCTGGCCTGGCCCCCGAGGCCCTGCTGAGCTGGTGTTCCTGTCCTGTGTGGCTGCTTTCTCCTTAGTCTCAGTTCCCCCTCTGCTTAGCCCTGCAGGTCCTCTTGGCTTGCTGCTTTTGAGTCTCTTCCTGAGGTGAGATGAGGCTGGGGACCAGGTTTTGCCTTGGGCTGGCTCACTTCTCTCCTTCTGCAGTCCAGCAGCTGGTGCTGGATGGGTCAGAACCCTCTGAGAGGAGCTGGATCACGAGGTTTGATGAAATGGGTGCAAATGCTTCTGTGATGAGCCAGAGAAATTGAAGGGGAATGAGCCCAGTGGATGTAGGGGCTGGAGAGAATAGGCCTCAGACAGAACCCTGAGAGGCCTGGGGGCTCAGGACCATTAGCCTTCTCCCCGTGCAGGGCTCTGGCTGCTGGCCCACCCTGAGACCCACAGCTGCAGTTGGCAGGGGTGCAAGGGTGGCCATCTGGGCAGGCCTGGCAGGGCAGGTGTGGGAGCAGCAGGCAGGCAGGGCCTCGCCATCTGGCTGCAGGAAGACTCCCTCTTGGTACTGGGCCCTGTCTGGCCATCAGGCTATGCTCTGGCAGAGGGGCTAGAGAGCTGTGCCTTCCCTTGCTTTGCTCACTTTTCTCAGACCTTCAACAGGAAAAACCTGATCTAATTAGGAAAAGGGGATGGGGATGGGAGAGGGGCCCTGGTTGGATGAAGCTTTGAGTTGCCTCTGACCATCTGCACAGTGTGTCCTTTGCCTCCATCATGCCAAGATATGTGTGTGAGAGAAAGAGACAGAGAATGAGAGAGTGAGAGAGCAAAACAGAGAGACAGAGGTGATGTGAACACTAAGACAGTCAGGCACCCTGTATGAATTGAAACTAGGGTTCTTGTTCTTAGCTCACAGAGGGGCTTCTGGGGTTCAAGAACCTCCAGAAACACTGTGCACATATTTGGGGGCATGAGCATTTTCCTGGGAAAAGGCTCACAGCTCTCAGATTCTCACTGGTGTTCACAGGGCCCGAAATATTAAGAACTTTGAAGAATAGATACTGTACCTCATAGATGGTTTTCACATGGACTTGGATCCTCTGGGCCCAAGTTTGGAAACGAGTGAACAGATAGGCGGGAAGAAGAAAGTGAAGGATACATTCTGGATGTCAGAAGATGAACAAGACATGCCTGCCCTGGGATTAGGAGGGCAGGCAGGGGCCCTCCCTGGCCAGTGTTCATTGAGTGTTTTGAGTATCATTAAGTGACACTGGCCTAGGCGCTGAAAGAGACTCACCACCTAGAAGACCGAGTCCTTACCTTTTTTGAGTTTGTTTCCTTCTTTGCTTTAATTTTCTTTCATATGACTTGTGCAGAGTCTAGAGGTCTGGTTCGTTTATCTCACACGTGTCCTTGGGTCCCCTGATGGAGGAAAGGAGGAGGGTTCCGGTCAAGGGATCTGAACTTTGTGGCCTGTGCTGTTGTTGGTGCCACTGCCACTGGTGCTTCGAGGAGGGCTGAGGCCCGCAGGCCCGTCCACCCTATCCACTGCTGCCTCCTCGTGCTGCAGCACTCCTTCCCTCTGGAAGACAACTGCGGCTTGTTTGCTCGGGCAGTGACTCAGTGACACCGCAGCCCTGGTGCTCCACCCTTTGGGAGCCAGGAACAGCCGGGACCCTGTGACCCTGGATGGAGCAGCTGGCTGGGGCCCGGGACTTGGAGGGCTACCTGCAGCCTGTGGGGCTTGCAGAGCCTGGGGCTCAGCCGTGTGGCTTCATAGCACCTCCAGGTGCTTCACTCTTTGGGAACTTGCTTTGTGTCTGTCACTGTGGGCTCTTGGAGGATCCAGGAATTTGTCCTTTGTATTTAATAATATACCTGTGGACATTTACTGAGCCTCCACCTTGTATCTAGTACCATTTGAAGCGCTGATGTGTATCAGACCAGTTGATCCTTACAACAACCCTATGAGGACAAGTCTGTTATTATTCCAGCATTACGAAAAGGGAGACTGAAGCACAGCAATGTTGAGTCACGCTTGCATGGTTTCACAGCTAGTTAGAGAGCCGAGGTTCCCAGCTGGGCAGCCTGACTCCAGACTGGCTGCCAGCTCGTGTATGGGACCTTTGCACCTGCTGAGAGAAGGCCTGCAGAGAGAGGAAGTATCCACTGAGCATTTGCTCATGAACCAGGGGAAGGAGGCTCTTAAGGAAGGAATGAGGATTGCATTCTGTGCTGAGTTCGCCATTTCCTGAATGCTGAAGGCCAGCACTTGCCACCCAATCCCAAAGTGGCCTCGGACATGCCTTATAAGGGTCTTAAAAGGTTTGGTAGCATCAATTGCATGTCTGTGATGAATGTTTTACAAGCATGGCATTGCTTTGTTATTAGAAGAGGATAATAACAAATTTGTTTCACGTGAAGGAGTTTCCCTGGCAGATAAAATTGGGAAGGGCATTCTAGTAAGTGGGAACAGAAAGTGCAAAAATTTCAATCTTGAGGAAGGTAAATATCAATAGTACACCATTTCCCAGACTGACAGACTTTCAGTGGAAAAGTGACTTCATGGTTAAATAGTTTCGAGAAATGCTGAATTAAACAAAATTAAGTTAGTCTTTTGGTTGCAGGACTTCTCAGAGCCTTTAACATGCTAAGGTGTATTTTAAATCTACAAATAGAGGAGAGAAGATGCTACATTTCCCAGTTTTTCCAGAAAATCTGTGGCAAGGCAATGAGACTCAGGAGACCTGGGTCTCTGTCTTTCTTGTCTCTGCTACTGCAAGCTGTGCACCCTGGACAAGCACCTGAACTCTGGGGTCTTAATGCCTGAATAAAAGAGATTATCATCACGGCAAACATTTATGGAGCAATGACTCCTCCTTGCCATCCTCTGGGCCAAGGACTTTTTACATTCATCGTCCTCTACCCAGTCCTATGAGGTAGGTGCTAATACCATCCCCATTCTACAGATTAAAAAACCAGAGGCTTCCAGACATTAAATATAAACTAAAGAAATGGAGAAAAGGGACAGTGGTAGACTTCGGGTACTTTGCAGAGCCCAAATCCTGTGACATGTGTCTCCTTTGCTCCCCTGGCCTCAAAAGCCCCACGGGTGGGGTCAGAAACTCGTAGCAGGGCCCAGCTGCAGAGTGGAGGGTTCAACCAGATGGTGGGCCTGCCAGCTACCTCAGGAGAGGCCTGGGCAGGAAGGAGAGGCAAGGCCTGACAGCTGCTTTGGGAGGAGCACTGCCCCATTGAACAGGTGCAAGACCAGGGTCCTGGAGGCACCCTGCCACCCTCCTGCAGGAGTGGAGGGAGCCACGGGGCTCTCTGGGCAGAGCTACTTACCTACTAGTTTGGAAATATTTCAGCATTTCAACAGCGTACCAGAGGATGTGCCTAAATATCAGCCCTGGCTTTAGGTGCCTTCCCTGCCAGTTCCTTCCTTCTGCCCTTGAGCCAAAGGCTTTGATCCCTATCAAATGTGGATTCTCCTGACAGGCTGCTCCTACAGCCCCTACTGGTCGGTCAGGTCAGAGTTAGGATGAATGGGGATCTGAGAGTCTGTGTCACTCCAGAAGATGGAGTCTGGGTAGAAGGAGGCCTTTCGAGCATCCAGTAAATGCGCACTGAGCACCTACTGTGTGCCAGGCCCTGTGATGGATGCCGTATACAACAGTGAGCACGGCAGAGTCAGGTAGAGGGCCCATAAACAAAGTAAATCGTGATAGAGCAAAGGTGTCAGAAGCCTACAGGGGCAGCTTCCCCACACTGAGCAGTTTTGCCTCTTCACGTGACCTAGAAGCCACTGGGAAAGCAGGTCTGGTCTCTGACACGTCCTCTATGTCCAGGTCGGGTGCCCGTCCTTCCCAGCAGGTGTCTCTGCTGCTGCTCCCGACCCGGCCCCGTGGGTGGCTTCTCTAGGCACCCCAGCCCAGGGCGGAGGCCAGGGCTTCCTGGAGCAGGGTGTGGAGCCAGGAATGGAACAGAGGAGCCATTGAGCTGCCACCTGGGTGCCCATGGGCCCCGAGCTGCCACGACTGGCCCAGGACTCCAGTGGGAAGGGCGCTGCCTGCAGCTCTGACTGGGCTTGCTAAGGGAAGGCAAGGGGGGCTCTGTGGAGTTGGGGAGGGGGGCCTGGGGCTTGGGCCAGGTGCTTCTACTTATTGAGCAGCTTCCAGGGACTCATACCCCATGTTTGACTCCCCAGCCAGATTCATGCTTCCTCCTCTCCTGAATGAACAAGGAAAAGTGCTTCCTTTGTCCATTCTTCCTTCCTCTTTTATATGAACTGATTTAACAAATATTTACTGAGCACTTTTAGGTATTGGGAATTTAGCAATGAACGTGGTTCCTGCCCTCAGGAAGTTCACAGTCTGCAGGAAGACAGATAATAAAACAAGTATTTACTACACAGTGTGTTGATACCCCAGCACAGAGGCCCTAACCAGACCTGGAGGGAGAATGGAAGGCTTTCTAAAGAAAAATAATCTGATCCAGGTAAAGGGAAAGCCTTTGAGATAAGAAAGAGATTATAGAGCTTTCAGGTAACAAAGTAACCTAGGGTGGGTAGAGAGAACCCAAAGAGCAAAGTGGAATCTTTAAATCCCTTTAACTTTGGACTTGTTCTTTTGGCACTGGAGAGCCATTGCAAGGTTTAAGGATAGCACATTTGTTGACTCAGTTACTGTTAAGTAGCTGCCACTTATGAGTGTAAGGCTGGGTGCCGACCTGGGTGGGTACCCAATGGGCTGGCTCCAGAGCCCCTTGGTCAGGTGGGTGAGACTGTGGGTGCCCGTTGGCCTGGGGTGAAGCAGCTCGGGGTAGGAGTGGATTCCTTTTCTGCACTTCCTGCAGGAAGGGGGACTCGCAGAGCAGGGGGGGGGGCTTTAATGGGGAATAGGCAGTGATCTAGCAGAAACATTTTTCTAGTGCCCACTGTGAACCAGGTGCTTACTGGAGCTGGAGGGAAAGAAGTGACAAGGAGCCCCAGGCCAGTGGATGCTCTGGTGGAGGTGATGGGATGATCTGAGATGGTGGTCTTCTCAGAAGCAGGCAGAGATTCGAGGGAGGTAAAGGAGCTGGGGGTCTTGACTGGAACAAGGTGAAATGAGTAGGAGCTGAAGAACCGATGCATGAGATGGTAGGAGCTGTTGGGACACTCTTGAGACCCCTAGAGGGGCCAGTGGGGGTTCAAGGAACATGCAGAAGGGGTCTCTGAGGTGGGAAGTTTTCTTTCTCCATTTCCAAGCCTTGGTAGGGGTCCCAGGACAGGTGGTCATCCCCACAGCCTCCCTGCCCAACTGTCTCCCACAGTCCTGATCTGGACCAGAACCAAAGCCTAGACCGAGAATAGGGGAGAGGCAGGAGTGGCCCCTTCCCCATGCCGCAGGCCCCAGAGCTACCTCTTGTCAACGCCTGGCAACCAGGTGTGCAGTGTTCTCCTGCCCCAAGGTGCAGTTAGCGTGCAGCGGGCTGCGCTCTGTCTCTGCCTCAGCAGGTCCCCCCAAGCCTGTGCCCAGCTTGGAGAAAGGCTTTCTTGTCCTCAGCTGTGCCCCGCCCCGAGCACCTTAAGCTCCTCTGCAGGGTGTGCGGCTTGCAGCCTGGGATGAGGAGGGCCAAGACCATACCTTTCCTGTCCCTGTCCTCCAAGAGCCTGGGGGATTTCAGCAGAGCCCAAACCCTGGCTTTCTCAGGGTTATCCTAAGGTGGTCTCTCTCCCAGGACAGCCAAGATGCCCAGTGGTAGCAGGCTGGCAGCATGATTTTGCACAAAGGGCACAGGTTCCAATCCTGGTTTCTCCACTTATGTGGAATGGACTTGGGCATGTTGTTCCCTACCTGCCCTGAGCCTCCATTTCCTTAAAATGGCAATAATAATTCCCACATGACATTGTGAAGGATGTTGTGAGGATAAACCAGTGAACTGTGGCATAAACTCAGTATCTTCCTTGAAGGTCAGCAAATACTTATTTGTTTAGCATCTGGGAATGCAATGCTAGGCATGGACCAAGCTAATCCCCCAGTTGCCTACTGTTCCCTGCTTATTCTTTGAACTCCAGCACCTTTATAACCAGGTCTCTGAATTAATTCCCTCTGTTAGGCCACCTGGTATAGGCTCTGGTCCTGCCTGGACCCTGAATGAGGCAGGCCTTAAAGCCCAGAGCCTCATCCTGTCCATTTAGCCTAGGGAATGGGCCAGAGGCACAAAATTAACAGAAAAGAAAGATGTACCATTCTGTTGGCAGCCTACTGGGGACCCCTGCAAAGGAACAGCCAGAGCTTCTCCCCATCCAAGCTCCTGGGCAGCCTGCCCAGGACTCTTGCTCCCATGGACAGAGCATCCTGGGGAGAAGCAGAGCTGTCTCTCAGACGTCTGAAGCTTGCTCCCCTCACTCTCTTCCCAAAGCTAGCAATTCTAGAAGACTATGCGGATCCGTTTGATGTTCAGGAGACTGGTGAAGGCCCAATAGGAGCTTCAGGAGCCCCAGAGAAGGTCCCCGAGAATGACGGTTACATGGAGCCCTATGAGGCCCAAAAGATGATGGCCGGTGAGTGATGGAGTTTGGGGTGGGGGTGGGGTTGGGGGTTGCTCCCTGAGGCTTGAGTATCTGCAGAACAGGCTCTGGGACCCACAAGTCTAAGGACTGATTCCTTGGTCCCTAGAAAATATGGAGAAAGCCTTTGCTGGGTCTTTGGGGAGGGTGGCCATTGTCTTCAAGATAGTCATTTTGGAGAAGAAGCTGGGACTTGTGGTGCCTGAGACGTGAGGTGCTAGAGAAGGCCGTACAACCAAAGGGCAGACAACAGAAGCATTTGGGATAGTCACGAATGACAAGCTAGTGGTGTGGGCTGGGGTCATTGATCCCAAGAAGAGAATCACTAGCTTTAGGGAAGGTGATGGGTCTGAAATGATGGGACCTCGAAGTGAACATCTATGGCAATTGGAAACACATGACTAGAAATGCAGGTGCAATGCACATGAGATTGGGCAAGTAGTTCAAGAAGTGAGGGCAGGGAGAAGTGAATGAGACCTGGCCCTGGGGAACAGAGGTCAAGAAAGCATCCAGGGAAAGGGAACAATGTGGGTGATCAGAGAGGAGGACAGGGGTGAATCAGTGTAAGCCAAAGCCCCAGGGAAGGATGAGAGGAAGGTTTGTTCAGGGGCAAATAATCTTAGTGCTGGGCATACAGGAGAGCTAAAATGAGAGAGGCTAAGAGGGGGTAGTGCAGGTCTTGAAGGCTCAAATGAGGCATTTGGACTTGCTCCAAAAATGGGAAGGGAGCCATTATGGATTCTTGAGCAAGAAAGGAACAGGATGAATGTGGCATTTTTAGAGGATTACTGAGGCTTTGGTGTACAGAACACACTAGAAGAACTGGGCATCAGAAAGATGAGTTAGGGGGCTTCCCTGGTGGCGCAGTGGTTAAGAATCCGCCTGCCAATTCAGGGGACACAGGTTCGAGCCCTCGTCTGGGAAGATCCCACATGCCGCGGAGCAACTAAGCCCGCGCACCACAACTACTGAGCCTGCGCTCTAGAGCCCGTGAGCCACAACTACTGAAGCCCACGCACCTAGAGCCTGTGCTCTGCAACAAGAGAAGCCACTGCAATGAGAAGCCCGCGCACTGCAACAAAGAGTAGCCACCACTCGCCGCAACTAGAGAAAGCCCACGTGCAGCAACATAGACCCAACTCAGCCAATAAATAAATTAATTAATTAAAAAATAAAGATGAGTTAGTAGGCTATCGTGGAAATTGTTGAGGCTTTAAGGGACCAATAATTAACACCCTTTTCTTCCCCTCTGACCTTGGAAATAACTGAGGAATAGGATTAAGGAAACAGATGGAGATAGCAATGCCAGCTTTATTACTGATAAAGTTGACTGGAGAACACTACTTAGCTATGTCACCAGAATGACATAGCTAAGAATACTTCACCACAGAATTAAACTTGCCTACTCAGGCTTGGGCAACTCAGGACAGCTATAGGCCCCTGCACGGGGGCAGGAGGAGAAAGAACCAGAATGTTCTCTCTCTGCAAGTAGGCAAATCTGGGAAAGAAAGGAAGCTTCCACTGGCCAATCAGATAAGCTGTTCTCCCTCCCTGGGAGAGGTGGGTGAGGGAGCAGAGAGCAGCAGTAGGGAGTGTCATTCCATGGAGCCCCTGAAACATGAGCCTGTAGATTGGAGGTTCACCCTAGCAGTAATCTAGATGTGGAGAGTTGAGGGGGAGAGTCATCAGGTATTGGCACTGAACACATGGGATTCAGAGAATGAAGCAGGGCCAGGACCAAGGAGAGCAGTGTAGTAGACAGAAATGGAGAAAGTGAGAGGGCGGCTACTGTATTTAGATGAGAAGGGTGCAGACCCCCAGGAGGTCCATGAGTGTCGTGGAATTGTATGTGAAAATTCGCACATTTTTCTGGGGAGTAGCTCCATAGCTTTTATCAGATTTTCACTGGGTCAGTGATCCCCAAAAGAGGATCACAGAACAGACTAGAAGAATTTTTGGGGAAAGCAGTGAGTTTGAAACATCAAAGTGAAACATTTTTATGGCAGTTGGAAACACATAGATGCAAAGGGTGCCATGAGACTGGAGAGTGAGAGCAGGGAGAAATGAATAAGATTTGGCCCTGGCGGACAGAGACCAAGAGAGGATCCAGGGAAAGAGACCAAACGGGGGTGATGGGAGAGGAGGACAGTCCATGAAAGTGACTTGTCCAAAGGGGACAGTTTCAAGGAGGGGGTGGTCAGCAGTACCTGAGCAACAAAGAAGGATTTTCTGATTGCAAAATGACATAACTTGGGACACAAGGAAATAAATGGATCTGAGTAGCAAGGAGATGGACCCTGCCTCAGTTTCCTAAATGTGTAAGCCTCAGCTCCCCAGCCCTTGTTGGCCATTGCAGGATCTTTTTTCTGTCTTTCACTCTGGTGCTTCTCTGCCCCTGTCTCTGTTGGGTCCCATGCTTTTGGAACCCTAGAGGTGTTCTGAGGGTGAGTGACCCCAGATGTGTGGTCACTGGGCTCCCCCCACAGCCAGCATCTCCTCTGAAGGCTTGTAGCTGGGGAGCGCTACTGGGGGCGCTGAGCCAGGCAGCCAGGACTGCTCACACCTTCCCTCCTGCCTTGCCCTGGCAGAGATCCGGGGCTCCAAGGAGACAGCAGCTCAGCCCTTGCCTCTGTATGACACGCCCTATGAGCCAGAGGAGGAGGAGGGGGCCACACCGGAAGGTGAGGGGGCCTCCTGGCCCCGGGAGTCCCGCCTGCCAGAGGATGATGAGAGGCCCCCTGAGGAGTATGACCAGCCCTGGGAGTGGAAGAAGGAGCGGATTTCCAAAGCCTTTGCAGGTGAGTCCTGGGTGGAGAGGGCAGGTCTGCTGAGGCCTTTGAGCAGCTTTCCAGGCTCAGGGGGATGGGGGGGGGGGGGTGGGGGGGGGGGGGGGGGGGGGGGGGCAGGAGCTGGGCTCAAGGGAAGTGCAGTTGAGTTGCACCATGGAGAGTGGTGAGTTGGGCGGTGTGGACACAGAACTGTGTGCAGGGTCGGGGATGACTCCCTGCATCACCACCTCTCAGAGGCCAAGAGGCTTGAGCCACTTCCATCTTTTGGGAGGCAGTGTGTACTTAAAAATAAAGAAATTCCAAACAAAATGATAAAACTTGTGGCATATGTTAAATACGTACACGTAACAAAGGAAAGCATTGACACTCCAGACAGTGAAAACCCACTGTGTGTATAGCCTAGCCCCAAGGGTATTTCTCAGGAGCAGGAACCAGTGGGGAGAGGGAGAAATCATCAGGTTTCTCCTGTACCAAGCACCCCAGTGTCCATCCCAGGCCCGGAGTCCAACATAGAGAGGGCCTGAGTGGGTGATACAAGAGCCTGGTACAAGAGCCTTGTTCAGTGAGAACATAAAGGACTTCAGTGCCGTTAGACCTCATTCCTACTCCCATGTCTTCCTCAGCCCTCCTTGGGCAAGGAGCTCATCCTGGAGCTGGACCCGGCTCTCCACTCTGTCCTCCCCACCCCGGCAGCCAGACTGGGAAACCATAGGTTCCTAATTTGTTTCCCGTAAAGCGTGCACCATTGAGGATGGGCCGTTTATCTCCCGAAGTCTCCTTGGAGAATCAATACTGTTTGAGTTGCTTAATGGGAAAATCTATGCTCCTCATTAGGAAACCTGTTAGCAGTCCTGCAGCCGCCAGTGGCATGGCTCTCCTAATTGTCAAGGCTCAGGATTGAGGGTGCGGTGGGTAAATTTCAATAAAACATCTGCTCTGGCTTCTGAGTTTTCCTGACAGCCTGAGGCTGGGCTGTCTCGGTCTTGCTGCCCATGAGTTCCCAGGCTCCAGGCGAAAGGGGGAAGGGAGGCAAGGTGGGGCGTGCCAGGATGCTGTGTGGGTGTCCAGGTATGATGCTGGGGAGTATGGGCAGCTCCTGGTCCTGCTTTTCCCTCCCTTCCTGGGCCCTTTGGGCCCTGGAGGCTTGTGAGAGGTCAAATAAAGGGGACCTGTGGGGCTGGCAGAGCAAGACCCTGTGTCTGGCAGTTTGCTCCTGGAGCCTCCCACCTGCCATGGTGCGGTCAGTGTGGCTCCGCCCAGTCCTCTGAGAGTCCTGTTCTTCCCTCAGAAGCTGCCCCTGCCTCTGCTCTGACCCTCCTCCTTTCTAGGCTGTCCTGTGTCCTGGCTCTGGGTTTTGGTGTCTCAATCTCTGCCTCTCTCTGTCTCTGTCCCTGTCTGTCTCTCTTCTCCCTGCTGCTACTGGCTCCAGTTGACATTAAGGTCATCAAAGACCTACCTTGGCCTCCACCGGTGGGACAGCTGGACAGCAGCCCCTCCCTTCCCGACGGGGACAGGGACATCTCCGGTCCAGCCTCACCCCTCCCTGAGTCCAGCCTGGAGGACGGCAGCGGTGGGTCCTTTGGGGGCTTCTGGCCAGGGTGATGTGTCCTCTCAGCCCTCAGGCCCTGTGGATTGGGTTGGAGAAGCACAGAGGTGGGGCAGAGTTCAGAGAACCCAGGAGGAATCCCTCTTGCCCTGGAGGAAGATGGAAGGGACAAAGTACACGTTCCTCCCTCCCCTAAAGGGGTGGGGAAGGTATCTCCTGAGGGAGGCCCCTTCCAAATATCTTTCCCCCCATGCCATAAAAATCCATTATTCTAAATTCAGTCTTTTGGGCAGAGCTCTGCCTGACCAGATCCCTCAGCAGTGCAAATAACGCCTGAGGCAGGGGTGATGCTAGCACAGGAAGTTAAAGGAAAGGTTTGATCTTTGTATCTGGTGACTGGAAAGACAATGAGGGCTTGAAAGTGCTAGGCGGCGAAAAAAGACACTGAACACTTCATCTACTTTCAGTTTTACCCAGAATGGGCAGCCAGGGATGTGCTTGCATCTGTGCATACGCACACCTGCATGAGCACCTGTTTGTACATTTGTGCGTGGGTGTGAGTGGGTATTTTGTAAATACAGGCTGAAGGAGAGTCTCTGTCATCTGTGCATGTGTGCTCGTGCCCATTTGGCTCACTGGCTTCATCCCTCCCTGGGCAGGCTCAGCGGTCATGCCTGTCCCAGTCTGGGAGGCCAGAGCTGCCTCTGCTGGGCTTCTGTGGGTGGGGGAGGGGAGCCTGTGGGCCGCGACCTTGGGGGCGGGGGAGGGGCGGGCTGGCTGGCGGCTTTGGGCGGGATTAGCCTGTCAGGATGGCACCAAGGGGAGTCAGATAATTGTTCTCAGATCGATAAGTCATTTCTACAGAACGGCTTGGCAGGGTGATTTGGAGAACGGTAATGAACTCTTGAGGAGGAGAAAGAAACAATATTATCAGCACTGAAGCCACCCTGAGGGGGATGGAATAAGGGAAGGCAGTCCGCTCCTCCAGAGGGAGGAGCTTAAGTGGTTTCTCGTGTTGCTGTCTTCCCTCTCCTGCCATGGTGTGGGGACTGGGAGGCCCTGTGGCACAGGAGAGCTGAGCCCGCCCCCGCCCCACCCAAGGATGGACCTAGGATACTGTCCCTAGAGCTGGTCAGGCTCATGAGCACGCCCCGCCCTTCCAGAACATTCCTTTGCCCCCTTTTGGCTGGAAATGGGGATGGGGCACTGGCTAGTCTATAGGGCTCTATCTCTAGGGTCCTCAGAGTCTATGACTGGTATGTCCCCCACAGCCCAGTTTGAAGGATCTGAGAAGAGCTGCCTGTCACCTGGCCGGGAGGAGAAGGGGCGGCTCCCTCCCCGACTCTCTGCAGGGAACCCCAAGTCAGCCAAGTCCCTAAGCGTGGAGCCCAGCAGCCCCCTGGGGGAGTGGACAGACCCAGCACTGCCTCTGGAAAACCAGGTGTGAGTGTCTGTGTCCAGCTGGGGACTCTCCCCTCCCTTCCCCTCCTGGCACCAGCTTGCCTGCAGGGGACACCCAGAATGGGTGGGCCTGGACAGCGAGGGACCCAGCAGAGATGCCCCCCCTTCCTCTCTCTTGTCCTCAGCTGGTACCACGGGGCCATCAGTCGAACAGATGCCGAGAACCTGCTCCGGCTGTGCAAAGAGGCCAGCTACCTGGTACGCAACAGTGAGACCAGCAAGAACGACTTCTCCCTGTCCCTCAAGTGAGTGGGGCCTGCTGGCTGGTGGCTTTAGGCAGAGTGAGCCTGTCAGGATGACTCCAAGGGGAATCGGTGGGAGGATAACCAGCAGGACAGGAGGAGCCGCCAGTATCTCTCCCATGCCCAGCCAGGCTGGGGAGAACTTCATCCCCTGTGAACATGTGCCGACTCTGTGCCAAGCCCTGGGCATCTGGAGAGGTCTGAGGCTCAGCCCCGGCTCCCAGGGAGCGCAGAGTCCATTGGGGGAAGCAGTCAAGCTATAGAGTGCAGCTTAGAAGGGTTCTGTCACTTTCTAGCTCTGTGGCCTGGGGCCCCCTTAACCTCTCTGGGCCTCAGTTTCCTTATAAAATGGGGGAATAATCATATCTGACTTACAGGGAAGGATTAAATGAAATAAGCACTTAGCATAGTGCCAAGTGCTTAATGAATTATCACTATCATCATTATTAACGGAAGCCCAAGATGTTCTACAAGTACAGGCGAGGAGATAGGAACTTTGCCTGTGGGACTCAACAGGGTGAGATGGAGGCTGGGTGCTGGGAGGAGGATGGAGCAGTGGACACAAAGCTATTCTTGTTCACTCTGAAGAAGAGGGCAGAAGATCTGGGTGCTAGCGGCTGACAACTGGGCTTTAAAGGGTCCTGGAAGAGGCAGGGGAGGCAGGGCTCCTCCTCCTCCTCCTTAGCCTTCCACTCTGGGCACAGATACAGAGACCAGCATCAGCCTCCCAGGTTCTACTGGCAGGATGGCTAGTCCTCTCCTCAGTACCTAGGAGTTCTGCCTGGTAGAACCTGCACCCCACATAGCAGCCTGTCAGAGTGCTGTGTCCATTCACATCCCCCATCATTACTGGGGCATCTGTACCACATTCTCTCACATCTTCTAGGGGGCATTAGAGTACAGGTACACCCCCACTTCAGACATATCCAATATATGGAAATTTGGGAGTATTAAACAGATACACTGGAGGATAATTATTCAACTTCACTGCAAGGTAATGGAAAAAATGCCAGACTATAGTCAGATAACCTGAATTTCATTCTTGGTTTTAATAAAACTAGCTGTGTGGGGCTTCCCTGGTGGCACAGTGGTTGAGAGTCTGCCTGCTGATGCAGGGGACATGGGTTCGTGCCCCAGTCTGGGAAGATCCCACATGCCGCGGAGCGGCTGGGCCCGTGAGCCATGGCCGCTGAGCCTGCGCGTCCGGAGCCTGTGCTCCGCAACGGGAGAGGCCACAACAGTGAGAGGCCTGTGTACCGCAAAAAAAAAAAAAAAAATAGCTGTGTGACCTTAGCCAAATCACTTAACCTCTCTGGACCTCGGTTTCTACCTTTGCAAAATATGTCAATGGATACCTCTTAGGTTTCTTCCACCTCTTATGCTGGGGGAGTCTGCAAATTATAACATCAAAGGAACATTTAGGAAAAATCCATTTGTCAAAAATTTGATCTACATAACTTCAGAATGTGTATTGCTTTAAAAATTATAGTTAAGATTCATAGAGCATCTACTATGTGCCAAGCAGCATACATACCATCTCCAAACCAGCTACCGTCCTGCAAGATCAATCTCTTTTTTATAGAAAGAAAATCGATTCAAAGAGGTATGTGACTTGCTCAAGGCCACCAGCTAATAAAGTGCCCAGAGCAGGATCTCAACCCAGCTCAGGCCAACTCCAAGAACCACACTGTTCCATTACACAGCTCCACCCCCCCATCAAGTCTGGTATGGTCCAAGGCAAGAAGAGACACGAGCAGAGCAGAGCAGAGCCTGCGCCCTGCCTTATCCTGAGGAGTGAAAGGGGGAGGCCGGCCTGGACACCGCTCCAGCCCAGGCTGATCAGGCCCTGCCAGCATCTGTCTGCCAGAGCCTCGTTTACATATAAATGGCTTCTCTGAAATACAATTATGGTTTCTCTTCTCTCTGTAATGGAAGGGCTTTCACTGGTAATTAAACAGCTTCCTCCAAAAGCCATGCCAGCCCTAGCCCTGCTGCCCAGCTAGTCCCACCTCAGTTCTCTGAGGGTCAGGCAAGGGCTCTGCTGTGTCTTAATGGACCCTTGGGACTTCGTCCCAGGAGGTCAGTTATCCAGGTGTGGAGGCTGAGCGCTCAGCTGCCAACTCAGTTCTCTGGCCACTTGTTGCCCTTCTTGGCCAGATCTGTCCCTGAAGGAGAAGATACAATGTACAGTTTTCAGGAGAGGGGATTCTGTCAAGTGGACTGTGGGGAGGGGCCGTCCCCAAACTGTGGAAGCACAGGGCCTACCCTGATGCCCATAGCCTTGGGTCTGGGATTTGGCATAGGGCAGACAGGGGAGGGCAACCACTCACTGCCTCCCCAGGGCCTGCGTGGTCACTGTCAACTTCAGCCGTTATCTCAGCCCTGCAGATGAAGGATGGTCCCACACCCTGACACACATGCCCAGGCTTTAGGGAACTGTACCCTGGGGGCGGGGGAGGGAAGGATGGTGTTAAGGGCCTGTTTTTTTCCTCCCATCCCTTTCCTCTTTAGTCTCCCCACTCTCTGTGCTTTCTCACTTGTGGCCCTAGTGAAATGGGACCAGTCAGAGCCCTCTTTGTATACAGACAGGGGAAGCAAGTGAGGGGGTTTGCCAGCCTCACCTCTCAAGGGTGGCAAACCTCACGAGAAGGCAGCCCCCTCCCCAGTCCTACCTCCCACACCAGCTTCTGAGCCCGGCTCTTGTCCCCAAGTAAGCTCTGACCAGCAGAAACAAGTACTCGGGCTTCAGGGCTCTCCCGAGCATGATTTCCCCATTGCCTGTTTGGAGTTTCAGACCTGGGGCCTGGCCGACCAGGCCTGTGGTAGTTTGAACAAACGTTCTTGCTGGGAGCTGGCCAGAGCTCTGAGCAGCAGGGTCCTTGTCTTGTGGGCAGAGCTGGGCACTGGTGCTGATTTCCTGGATTGTGGTGGGGAGATGGGAGAGGCAGTGGAGCATGTCCTCTCTGAGGGAGGGGATGGAGCTGCAGCCTCACAGATGATGTCATCCCGGGCAGAAGAGCTGGATAGATGAGCTGGGGGATTGGCCCAAGACCCAGTTAGCAGGAGGGTGAAGGGATGTCCCCAGGACAAGGCAGCTGAGTATTCCCAGATTTGGGGGTGATGTCCAGCTCCCTCTCTCCCCTAGTCTCTGCAAGAGAGCCCCAACCAAGATTCGCCTGGTTGGTTGTTGCATGTGTCTACCCACTGTCCTGCCAAGGGTGTCTGTGTTCACGAGGCACCAGGAGCTCCCCCCACACAGATGTCCTCCCCCACAGCTCAAGGAGGGGGAGGGTAAACTGGCCCTGGTCACGTAGGCTGGGGGGGGTGCGTAGGCTGAGGCAGGAGCGACTGGATCCCAGGGTTGGGGGGTGGTGCTGATAGCTTGTTTCCACCTGCACATTCTTGGCACACCCAGTGCCCTCACCACAAAGCCAGTACCTACTGCTGCCTACTTACAAAATCCCCTACATCCCCTCCCTGCTTCCTGGACTGACCTCCACCTTCCCTAGTTGCCTCCACTCTCAGCTGGCTTGGAACAACCATGTTTGCAGCGGGTGGTGGGGTGGTAACGACGACCGGAGAGGGCCCCACTCACCAGGGTCTCCCCTCCTCTTCCCAGGAGCAGTCAGGGCTTCATGCACATGAAGCTGTCCCGGACCAAGGAACACAAGTATGTGCTGGGCCAGAACAGCCCGCCCTTCAGCAGCGTCCCTGAAATCGTGCACCACTACGCCAGCCGCAAGCTGCCCATTAAGGGGGCCGAGCACATGTCCCTGCTCTACCCTGTGGCCATCCGGACTCTGTAGGTGTGAAACCTGGGCATTGTGACAGATCTGGACCCAGCCCTGTGCTCATCCCCTGGCTGAGGGCTGTGGCCCTTCCTGGGCCACATGATCTCTCAAACCTTTCTTGGCCCTCTCCCTGGAATCGAGTGGCAGCTGGAGATTCCTTAATTTATTCTGAAGGGAAGGACTACTGGAGCCTTGGAATAAGAGGTGGTCTGGAGCTGAGGATAGAGGACTCCCTGGGGAGAAAGGATAGCCCCTGGAGGAAGGGATTTCAGAATCGCTGATCTCCTGAGGAGTTTAAGATAGACAGCTCCAGCCCCTTTCTCCCCCTAGGGCAGAGGTGGCGACCTCCACCCTCTTTACCCAGGGGTGGAGGGGTGGATTGGGAATGCAGCTGGACGCGGGCCTTCGGGGTGTTCTAACCACCTCTCCGCCTACACCCCCAAACCACCGGCGGGCTCCGCCGGAGTCTGGTGCGGGGCTTCGGGGAGACAGACCCCTGGGATGGAGACGGCATTGGGGGTGGGGAAGGAGGGGAAGGGCTCGGCCGGAGGGAACTTGTGCAGGCCCGGGGCCGCCCCGGCTCCGGGCCAGAGGCAATAAATAAACCCAGTCCTGCCAGGCACAGCCGCTTCCACGCCTCCAGCGCCACAGCTCCCTCCCGCCCCCTCCTCCCCTCCCGCCCCCCCCCCTCCCCCCCCCCCCCCCGGCTGACAGGGGAGGGAGTTGAGCGAGCACAGATTCTGTTTATAAATCAGCTCTGGAGCGGACACAGGCGGCTGTGAAAAGCACTTTCGAAGCATCAAGTTCCTTCCTTTAACGAGATGTCAAAACATCCCCCCTCGCCCCCGCCCCGGCTCGGGGCACCAGAGCCGGCCTGCCGCGCGGTCCCCCTCCCCGCCGCCCCGACGAGCGCGGCTCCCAGAGAGCGCATCTAATTTCCTGCCAACAGCCATTTGTCTGGGAGGAGGGGAGCCACGGAGAGACAAAGAGGCAGCGCGCCAGGCGGGAGGGAGCAGGGCGCCCCTGCCACGCGGAAGCCGCGCGCCGGCGGAGGCGGGAAAGCTGGCGGGCCGACTGCGTTTCCTTTCCAGAGGAAGCGGGGGCCTGCCGCGCCTCCCGCGGCCCCGGGCCGATGGGTCCGACCCCGAGACCTGAAGCCGGCCAGCCCGGGCCCGGATCTCCCTCGTGGCTGTGGCGCCTGGCGGGGCCGTCCGCGCGCGCCCCCTGATGGCCGCGCCTCTACCGGAGGGGCCACACCGCCCGGCCCGCGGCCCTGGCGGCCCCCCAGCCCGCGCCCGCAGCTGGAACCCGCCGAGGCCTGGGGCCCAGTCCCTGGGGAATACCACCGGGCCGCCAGGCGGAGCTGCTGTCAAACCACTCCAGGTCCGCCCTCCCGCTCCCACAAGCAAGCTGAACAGAAGCTCCCAATGACCGATGACCCGCTGAACTAACACCCTCGGGACGGCTGCCCAGCCTGAGAGCCTCCTCCAGAACGGATACCTGCAACTCCCAAGCGTGGTGTGAAGCACGGGAATTTGGATTTTCTAATCCAGTGGCTAGTTTCTCGAAATCGAGGATATGTGATCTGACGAATGCAAGAATTCTGTGGGGACAGTGGAAAGGATCACTTGAAATTGAGTCCTGCTTCAAACATTCCATCATAGAGGTTGCCCTGTGCTTAAGTAGACTTGGAGGGCATTCAGTTATTTTGCAGATGAGAAAACAGAGGCCCAAAGAGGTTAGGTGATGTGCTCATCGGTCTCCTTGCTGTCATCTCACTACACGGAAGACTCATACAGGCACTCATACAGGTGCTCCACCCCCCCATGGCTCAGAGGACCAGGAGTAACTGAGGTCCTGGAGCAAGCCAGTGAACTCTGGCTCCCTGTAGACTCCTGCTGTGTCTTGCTACACTGCTCCCTTCTTTGTGCCTAGCCCACCGTCACCAGAAGCCCTCACACCTCCCTCTGCCCCTCCTGACCAGGCCTCAGGAGCCCCACACTAGCCGCCCTGAGAGGCCCTCTGTCAGGAAAGGTGCCCCTGAGCAGGGGAAGGGGTCTCTAGCTGGGGCGCTTGGCCTTGGAGGGGTTTCCTTAGTCAGTGGGTACAGGCAAGCTCAAAGAGAACGTGTGGACCAGCCTCGGTGAGCTGGCTGCGTGAGGACCCCACCCTGCAGCAGAATAAAGAAACCCTAAGGCAGGAAAGTGGCTTATTTATAAAAGGCTATTAGAGCAGGAAGAGGAGAGAAGAGCTGAGGAGCACTGAGGCCTGTTGGGGCAGGTTTTGACTACAGTACACGTTTAAAAAGTTGGCAGAAAAGATCAACTGTGCTGTTAGAATGGGGTGCTGAGGGGGTCCTGTAAATTGCTCTCTGTGGGTCTACCCTCTACCCTCTCTAAGGCATTTGCCAGCCCTTTTGACAGTGGGGAGCTCAGAGGAGGGGAGATTTGGGGGAAGGGGTTTTAGGATGCCAGCATCTGTGCTCCCACTTCATCCTTAGGCTCACAGTCCCCTAAACACACACACACACACACAATTTTTCTGCTCCAGTCTTTTGATTTTTTTTCTTATTTTGGAAGAAGAGGTGTCACTTTGCCCCAAAGGAATAATAGCTCTCCTACCTCCCAACCTCTAGTCCCCACACAGTGCCTTGCATTTCTCCAGGCTGAGACCCTCCAGGCCTTGGAGTCCCTGAACCCGCATGAGGTGACTAACCATGGCCACCTGGACCAAGGTTGGGAGGTGCGAATGGGGAGACGGCTGAGGGAGCCAGAAACAGGAAAGCTAGAGGTGAGGTATGGGGCCAAACCTCTGCTCAGCTGGGCAGTGGGCAGAGGCCCTGGGCAGGAGGCCTAGAAGTTCTCATGATGGTGGGAGAAACGAATCCCGTCCTGCCTGTTGATGAGCTGACAGGCCTTTTCCACATTCTTGGTCATGCCACGGGGGTCACAGCTAAACACCCCGATCTTCTGGACCTGTTGGAGGAAGAAGTGAAGGCTAGCTCAGTGTTCAGAGGGAGGGCTAGCTCCATGTTCATGTTAAAGACCAGCAAGAGTCCTTGGTGAGGACCATTCCGTGTTCCTGATGAAGGTTTGCTTCGTACCATGCATGGTGAGGGCTGCCTCAATGTTTATAAAACTAACTCAATTTTGGTAGACTTGCTCTCTGTGCGTCCAGCCTTTACCATTTTCCAACGCATTTGCTAGCTTCAGGTGCAAGATCAGTGTTTCCAATAGGGGCCAGGTTAATCAATGTCCAAGTTGAGGACAGTTTAGTGTCTCATTGAGGGCTAGCCCAGTTTTTATGAGAGTGTGGCTAGCATAGTGTTCGTGGTGAAGGTTAGCTTGGTGTCCAGGGTGAGGGCTGGACAGCATTAGTGGTAAGGATAATTCTGAGTCTATGGTGAGGACCAGCCCAACCACTGAGCCTTTCCTTCTGGACAAGGCATCACGGCTTCAGAGGTGGCAAGTCCCTGCTGCCTGATTCCTCCCTTTGCCCCTCAGGGTGACCCACACCTCTCCCCTTCCATTCCATTACCCCACCAATATTCCTAGGGGTGGATTCTCCTTCCCTTATGGAGCAGGTTTGGGAGCTTTGCTCAGACCGCAAACAATAAAGGTGAAGAAAACCTGAATATGGGGTGGGACTGACCTTTGGGTGGACCTCCTGCAGAGAGTCGAAGAAGGGTTCGAAGGGGGGTCGGCCAAAGTGGGTGATGGAGCGCAAGCCCGTGAACAGACTCCGGTTCAGCACCTTCTGGAAGTGCCGCTCACAGATGTACTGGGGGAGGGAGTAGAGGAGGAAGGTCACAGCCAGGCAGAGCCAGGGTCAGCTCCTACTCCAGATGGCGGTCCACCCACCTGCCTTGGCCATCCCTACCCTCAACCCACATACCCACTGAGCTGCCCTGCCTGGCCGGCCCTGACGTACCAGCATGGTGGTCCTGAGGTCAAACTTCTCAGCCAGCTGGGTGATGTAGATGTGCACGGACACCAGGTCCTGGTGGTCATTCTCCTCCATCTCCCGGATGATGTCAGCCAGCCACTCAAACTGCCGCTGGGTCCGTGTCACCCAGATGAAGCAGATCTGGGGACAGGGCTACAGCTTGGGACCCAGCTCATCTCAGGCTCCCTACACCCCAGGAATCATCACACCAATAGAAGTCTTCTGGTCTCTAGCAGCTTGTGCCTCTCCCCAGATAGCCTAGGGAGGTGGAAATGTATGGGGCCACAGGGCCATGCTCTGAGGCAGAAGATGGCGTTGCCCCAGGGCACAGAGCAGTGGAAGTGAGCAATAGCCTGGGGCCATGAGAAAGGAGCCTGTCAAGTGAGCTGAAGGTCTTTTGGGGTGGGAAGCAGCTTTCTCTTGCCGAGCCTGACCTTCCACTCCCTCCAGTGGGCCCTGCTCAGGCTGCTAGGCTCCCAACCTACAGGCTGCCCAGAGGCAGAGGGTCCCGCTAAGGGGTATGTCACAGAACAGCCTCTGGAAAGACCCAGCTGGCTGCCTGGAGTGGATGGGCATGGGCTCAAAGAGAGACCAGGGGAATGGAAGCTGCCCGGGGGGGTACCCACCTCCAGCTTCTGATGGGGAGAAACGGGGCTGTGTGAGTTAAGAGGCAGAGACAGAGCTGGTACAGACAGGGGCAGGGGAGCTGTCTGTCACCCTCTGAGTGCTGACAGCATACAGGCCGGGCCTCTGCCCGCTGCATTCCTGTGGCCCTGACTCACCTGCCAGGCCCAGAGAGACAAGCAGGGGCCTGCCACCAGGGCCAGGGTGAGGCGAAGGGGCCTGGTGTGGAGGGGCCTCAGGGCCTGGGCTGTGCTCCTAGAGCCATCCAGGCCCACCAGCCCTGCCTTGCTGCCTCCCCTCCTCTTCCTCTTGAGAGCAGAGCCAGTTTCACTTGTGCCCCACCCCAAGTATGCCCTTCCCTCTCCCGACCCGACCCGACAGTGCTTCAAGTGCTGGCTTCCTCTCCAACGCTGCCTGGAGGGACTCTCAGAAGCACATCCTACGTGGGGCACCCCCTAACTGAGGGAAGAGCCTGGAAGGCATCAGCAAAACAACTCTGTCCCTTAGGGTCCAGGAATACCCTGAGTCCCTTGGGGTCAGGCCAACTCAGCCTTTCCCAGACCAGGGAGGCCAAGGACAGAGGCAGGAGACAGGTTCAGATGGACACAGTGATAGGGAACAGGGGGCCAGGGACTGGTGGGAGGAGGGGACACTCACCTTCCTACAGAACACTTGGCAGCTGACCAATGACTTGAAGACCAGGTCTTTGAGGATGGAGGCAAAGGGTGTGACCCCAATGCCCCCTCCCACCAGCACGGACACCTCAAACTTACGCCACTCCTGGTGGCCCTCTCCAAATGGTCCATCGAGGTACAGCTGCAGGGAGGGGAATGGGTTTGAGTTAAGTTCGGCTACCACCATAGTTCTAAAGCCAGAAATGGGAGGCAGGGAAATGCAGGTAGGTGTATGGAGTGGGGAGTAGTGGGGGGCTTGTAGCATCATCTGGAAGAATCAGTCTCTGGATAGGGGAAGGGAGGAACACAGTGGGGAGTCTGGGGCAGCAGGACCGAGGCCTGCTAAGGGACTGTGGGAGCATGTGGTGCGTCCGGCCTGGGTCTGGGCACCTTTGGATGTTGGGCACAGCTGTCACCCGTCGGGGGTGAGTAGATCTCCCTGAGGCGGGTGGTCCAGGGCCCTGCTGCCCGGATGTGCAGGCTAAGCGTGTCCTCGTGGGGCGCAGAAGTCAGGGTGAAGGGGTGGCACTCTGTGGTCCCCAGAGCCAGGCAGGCGATCCACACCCGCTGTCCTGACTTGTACTCAAAGCCTTGGAGCCGCTGGAACTCGAGGCGTGTCACTCCTGAGGAGGGGAGGTGGGTGGGAGGTGGCTGTCCTGAACCCAGCAACAATGTGACCCCTAGAGAGTTCCCCAACCTGCAGCCTCAGCTCTGCTTTTGGAATATGACAGAGGAGGCCTCCCGCGATCAGAGGTCATTACTCCCCTCAGGCCACGTCTACCCTGAGCGGGTGCTGGGCAGCACTGGGGTTGGTGGTCAGCCTGGCCTGGGCTCCTCCTCTCTCTGTTGTGAGAGAGGCTCAGGTCCCCTGGCAAAGAGCTTCTCTTACCAGCTCCCTCATCCCTACCACCTCAAGGACCCTGCTAACTCCACTGAGCCAGGCCAGGAGATTTCAAGGTCCAGGCTCTGCCCCTGGCCTGTCAGCTTCCTCAGTACCACCAGCCTGCTCCCCTGACAGCCTCTATGTTGGTACCTGAAGGCAGCAGCTCCGCTTTCACCACACTGATCTCCACCTTCTTTCCGGCTCAGGCTCACCAGCTTGTCCCCCATATAGATAAGTACTGGGACCAGGAAGAAGATGTGGAAACGGGGCAGCTCGATCAGAGCGAAGCTGCCATGGATGATGAGCTGGATAGAGCAAAGAGTATAGCTGAGATCCAAGCCACACTCACAACAGGGTCTGACCCCTGCATCCTTTCCCAATTAGCCCATCCAATTCTCACCTCACCAGGTGCCATGTTCCTTCCAGGCTCCAAAACTTAACCTCTCCCAACCCATCCTCCAAAGCATTTATGTTAATGAGACTATTTGCATCTTCCTGACACCATCCTAGACCAAGCCACCTGCACTCATGCGGTAGCCTCCTACTTGGTCTTCCACTGGGTTGCCCCACTGTGATCCATTCTCTCCAAGACAGCCAGTGTGACATTTTAAAGTTTGTTTTATCGTGTCATTCCCAGCTCAAGAGGCCTTAGACGATTTCCCATTGCACCACAAGGCCTTGCAATGTTCTGGCCTCTACCTGCCAGCATTTCCCCCTCCCTGTTCTTCAAACACCGCAAGTCCTTTCTGCTTCAGGACTTTGCACCTGCTGCTCCCTCTGCTGGGAATGCCTTTCCCCTACTTCTTCCCATCCATCTCACTTTTCAGGTCTCAGCAGAAATGCCACCTCCTCAGGCCTTCACCCAGCCCTCTCTATCCCTTCTCCCTGTTAACTCCCTTCAGAGCATTGTCGTCATCCACGATACTTGTGTTCCTTCATCCATGGACATGTTTACTGTTGTTCTCCCCACTGGACTAGAGGAGTAGGGACTGTGTCCATTTCATTTGCCATGACACTCTCAGCTCCAATCAGTTTCTGCCTGGCATATGGTAGGTGCTCAGTAATTACTGAGTTAATGGAAGGAATTTCCCCAATTTACCCTGTCCCTTTGGAGACTAAGAACACCTAACCAGTCCTCCTTTTCCATGAAATAACTGACAGGTATTGTCCAGCTCCGGTCCTTTCCCCAACAAGCTGGTCTAATGTGGTCAGACACGACTTGCCCCCTTCTTCCCACTTGCTTGGTCCTGAGTATGGTCAGCCTGGCTCCCGCCTCCACATCTTCTCAGGACCTGCTCACAGAGGGCTCACAAGTGACCAAACCCCGAGGTCTCCCTTCAGACTGCATTCGCTCCCGTGCTTGGCAGCCTGTGGCCCTAGTGACCACCCCCGCCTTGCCACTTCTGCAACAGTGCTTTGCTGGTTCTCCCTCTTTCCCTCTCAGGCTGTTTACTTTCTATCTCCTGCACTGGCTCTGCTCCTTCTCCCACCCCCAGTCCTGTGTGTTGCCCAAACCTGATTTCCTCACCCTCTGCTCTTCTCTTTCTATGATCTCCCACCTGGCGCAGCCTCTCAGCTGAGCCACAGCCCTTCAGCTGCAGCTGCAGCCTGCACAGGTCTGCCATGTCCTGCCACCACCTACTGCCCTGTTGGCCACTCATAGCCAGGCCCATCTCCTCTGTGCCCCGAATATTCTACCATCATTCCCACCTCTGCACCACTGTTCGTGCCTTTCTTCTTCTTCTTTTTTTTTTTTTTGGCCCAACCAGGGATTGAACCTCGACCCTCGGCAGTGAAAGCACAGAGTCCTAACCACTGGACCTCCAGGGAAGTCCCTCATGCCCTTCTTTCCACCTGGAATGCTCTTCAGTTTCCACTCTGCCCTGTCAAACCTTAGCTTATCTCTCCTTAAGCTTAGCACAAGTTCCACCCTCTCCCCAAAGTCTTCTCTAACCAGTTTGGCCCAAACGAAACTCCCTTCAATGAGCTCTTCTAACTGACTGACTGGAACACTCAGCTCAGCAATTAATCCTGTATTATCTGTTCATTTTGATCATTTCACATGCATGGCACTTATCTCTGCAGCAAATCCTCAGTTCCTGAGGGCAGAGCTTAGAGTCTCCCCCTCCTCTGCTGGGCCTAGCACAGAGCAAGTATATACTAGACCCTCAACACATAACAGTTAAAGTGAACTCTGGTTCCTCATTCAGCTCTCCATTCCTCCAGCTGAGTGTTACCCAATTCTTGAAACTTTCCCCACAGAGCTAACTCAAACCTCCTTGGGCTCTTCTCTCAATTGGCTCCAGTTTTCCCAGGTTCCTCTTTCATTCAGGAGCCCACGCCCACCCCCAAGGCTTTCTGAGAATCCAACCAGGCTGAGAACAATGTCAAGGTGACTTCATACTCCTTTGTTTATACACCTTGCTTGGTGTTGGCTCTACCTTTAAACCACAAAGCTGCTGCAGGGTCATGGTTGACTGAGGAGCCTGGGGAACAGCCTGCCAGCTCAGTTTCTGCTGTGCTAACTCCACCCTCTACAGCCTGGATCAGGAGCCTGGACACCCTTCCCCACGGTCTGCGCCACACTGGGGTCGTTTACTTGTAACTTCTCTTTCTGCCAGAGGTCAAGTGGCCATACCTGAGATAAACAGGAAGGCAGCAGGTGCTTTGGCTCTGATCTCCCCCCAGATGAGATGCTCCCAAGCTGCAGGGGCTAGGACTTCCCAGCAGAGTGGCCTGCACCTTTCTGAGCTGCTGACTTCCCTTCTGGATCCCCCAGTGATCCCCACAACCGGGGATAAATCAGAAACCGGTCTTGGTCTCAGGGTACCAGGCTGGCCACTCTTCTGGGTCTCCCATCTAGTTCAAAAAAGCTGCTTTATCACCAGAAACAAGACCATCATTTCCACCCCTAACAGAAACAGTAACCCAGATGCTAGGGCTCTACCCATTATCAGGAACGTTGGGAGGGAGGCATAAATTAGCCACAGTTTCCAGAGGAACTAACGTCATCAGTTCTAGGAAACGTCGTAAGCCCAGGCTGGATAGTCATCTTCAGAAGCGTGAAGTGCTGAGCCTCAAGCAGGTTGGAAGCAGACCCTCCTACCTACCAGTGAAGACAGACTGCACCCCAGCACCAGCCTGACCCAGGCAATGATGGCCTTTCTCCCTTGTCTCAGGACAAAGGAGACCCCTGTGTGCAGTTCTGCCTGGAGCCAGGTGACAGGGCAGCCATCTGGGCTCTGCACTTCTTGAATGCTGGCAGCCAAGCTATCATCAATGGGGACATCAGAGCTTTGGGACTTGGTTTAACTCCTCAGCAAGGCCCTCAGGGTGCCCTTCGGGGAAATGCCTGTGTCTGTGAGAAAGGCAGGCCAAGTAGAGCCATGACATAGGGGCACAGATCAGAGTCATCTCTGGAAATAGCCAGCTGAAGCAGCTGAGGACAAAGCCAGGGAAAGGTGAAAAGGGAACAGGAGAGAAGAAGGGAGGGAATGTGAAGGAACGAAGGCAGGGGCCCAGGTTAAGAAGGAAAGGGGAGAGGTGGAGTCTTAAAAATCCATTTTATCAACAGTCCAATGAAGACATTTTGAGCAAGTTCATTAACTTTACAGGTGGCATTTAGCTAGCTGGATGGATGTAGCTAACACCCCAGAAAACAGGATCAGAACAAAAGTGGCAGAACCTATTTAAGGTAAGTTTCTCTTTAAGAAGGTGACGCTCCCTTGAATGCAGACAGTCCACCCAAGAGCCCAAACCACCACCCAAAGGTAGGGAAAGACTGGCTGGGCAGAAGTGATGTGGGGTGTCTGGAAGGAATGCAGATCAGCCAGGTAAGGCTGCTACTACAAATCCCATGCCAGGGAGTCAGTCTTCCAAGTGCCGCATATTTGGGTCAGCCCACCTGAGAGCCCCATACTATATAATCTCCACCTTTTGAGAGAGATACGGAGAAGTGAAGAGGATACTTGAAATAACTAAGGGGATGGAGAACTGATGTCTCAGGCATCACTGCCTCCCTGGGAACATCTGCCCAGACTCCGCTGGCCTGGTTCACAGCCAAAAGCCCTCACCAGCACGTAGAGCAGGATGTAGAGGTGGTGGGTCAGCCAGAAGCCCTGGAAGCCGCGGCGCTGGAAGTGGTGGGAGGCGAAGACGTACATGACGGCGAGAACCAGGAGCAGCATGACCCCCGTGAAACCTGCAAATGAACATGGGGTGAAGGGCAGAGGCGCAGGGCCTCACAGAGGGGGCTGTTCTGAGGCTGCCAGGGTCCCCTCTCCACTCCACAGCTCCAGGCAGGGGGCGGAAAGCCCAGCATCCTTCCCTCTTCCTCTCTCCGACACCACTGATCACAGGTACCTTTCATCTCAACAGATCCTACTTGTCCTTTGTGGACCTTGTCATGATTGTTATTTTTCAAGCACCTGTGTCATTACTTGTTTTACGTCTGTCACTTTCTTGACTCTCAGGTCCACAAGAACAGGGACCAGGCTAGGCTAGTTCACCACTGCACCTGAGTGCCTAGTGCAGGGCCTGGCACACCATGGGCCTTATGGACACGTGTGCTGAATGAATGAATGTACAGGGCAGCTGCTCTGAGCCCTCTGGGTGGAACTCTGGACATTGTAGGCCCTGCCGTCAGGGAGTCAAGGCTTGGCCAGCATTCCAGCTGCACTCTGCCTGGCAGCCACAGCACCAAGCATGAGCACTGGCCCTGTTAGTGAGCGAGTGGGACCACACTGTCGCTGCTCATCACCAGAGCCCCCATGGATCTGGCCCAGACCTGGTGGGAGATCCCTCCTCTCAAAGGGGATCCCAGGCTAGGGGTGCACAGGAGGGCAATACTGGAGCCATTCCAGATAACGGCCCCTCAAGTGATCAAGGAGGAGAGAGGCAGAAGTGAAGAAGATTAGAGCCCTGTAGTGTGGAAAAGCAGAGGTTAAGAAGGGATCTAGCCAAACCCTGTAAAGTCCTGAATGGAGAGAAGGGCATAAACGCGGCCTGATCCAGTAAACCCCAGTGTGCAGGAGTTAGCAAGCACTCTCTGAAGTTCAAAGCCGATCGTTTTAGGATTTAAAGAAAAATAAAAAGCAACACGCTGTGTTTCACAGAAAGGACTGTAGAAAACGTGTTACCCCAAGGAGGGAACAGAGTGAAAATATAAATAGCTTCAAGAAGCATTTGAATATATTCACAGCTAATAGCTCTAAAATGGGTGATGATGGGGAGTTAGGAATATGCCCCTAAACAGCTCTTGTCAAGACAGACTACAGAATGGAGGGGGAGAGGGGGAGGGGGTGTCCACCAGGCTCCACAAAGAGCCTGGTCCCTCCCCCATGCAGCTGGGGCATAGCATTCCTCAAAGTCACTGTCATGGTAGGTGTGTGTGTCGGGGGTGGAGGGGTGCACTCCCATTCCTCAGAGGGAGGGACTAGCTCAGAACTGGGGCAGAAGCCCAGCTAAGCTCCTGAGAGAAGGCCTGGAATACAGAGTCTCCTACTGCCCAGGAGAGCGCTCGGGGCAAGGGCAGAGCCTGGCTCACCGTGAAGGCTATGAGGGCTGAGTGAGAGCAACTGGGCTGCCTGTGGCAGATAGAACCCAGAGCCTGGAACTCAGAGCCAGGCCCAGAAATTCACGGAGCAGAGAGGGCTCTCACCTGGCATGGTCTGGAAGAACCACCAGTAACACTTCTGGGGGGAACTCGGACCTGAGGGTTAGGGAAAGCAAGGACAGATCCTGTGAGGAGATGTCTGGGACCTCCAGAAAGGATCCTCCAGAGGAAGCGCCCCACACCAGTCACCAGTCTCCCTTTCTGTGACTTGGGATTGGGGACTCAGGCTGGTCATTGCCCTGTAACTTGGAGGGTGACACACTCCTCTGAACCAAGAGAATTTCTGCAAAGAATTCCACCCCCGAGCCAGGCCACACACACGCACACACACACACACACACACACACTCACTCACCCGTTGTCATGGAAGAGACCAGGTAAGAGGCAGGAAAGGATGCTGAGCGGGCTGATGGAGAAGAGGTAGACATTCACCACACGGCCTGCACTGTGTTAAGGCTAAGGAAGACCAGACAGGGTGGGGTTGAGCCTGGGGCCAGCCCACTGGGGGTGCTCAACCCATTCAGCCCAAGCTCTAGGACTCCAGCCAGCCAGAGTTGGGGGCCTGAAAAAGGACCCTAGGGATCTGGACTTCTATTCTTTAATAAACCTCCTGTTCCTCCCCTGCCCCATATACACACCATCCATGAAAATAGCCATATGCGTCTGAAATTATACCATTAGAAGTTCATTCCTTTGGTTTCTCTCATAGAATTACGTGTTTTTGTTTGTTTGGCTCACCAAGAGGCTTGTGGGATCTTAGTTCCCCGACTAGGGATAGAACCCGGGGCCCTGGCAGTGAGAGCATCCAGTCCTAACCACTGGACCACCAGGGAAGTCCAAAGTTAAAGATTTGCTACCTTTGGCATAGCTGGTGATTCCTATCTACCTACTGATTTTATAAAAGGTTACAAGTCTCATGTACATATCACTTCTTTATAGCCTTTCAATTCTCCACTTTCCAACAATGTTATAAAATAGCAAGGGCAAACGCAATAAAATAGGCACCCACGTGTAGAAACAATGCTGCGCCAAGATGTTAAGGCAGCCAAGACTGGTCTGTTGGCTGGCAGGCAATGCCATTTGTCCAGCCGGTAGCTCAGGGTATGACAGAGGACTCCTCAAAAGCAGCTCGAATATTGGTGCATGAAAGTATAGCTTGTTCCTGAGTCAAGGACCTTCTAAACCCATTTAGGGAGTTGTTGGGAAGAGTACATGAGATGAACCCTATTAAGTGCCTGGCATGCAACAAATGCTCAATAAACATTCGCTGGATCTGCACAGTCACAGAGTCTAAAGCCTAATCCTGCTGGTCTGGTAACCTCCATCCTGGTGTGTGATACTGGGAAAAGCGACCTGTGTGAGCCCTGCCCCTCTCACCAGGTGCCTGTCTCTGATGCATGTGTTTCGCCGCCCATCTTCCGTGTCTCAAGCCAGTGTGCCCTGGACCTCCCACCCTGCCCTCTGGGTCCTGACCCCTCCTCACAGTGCCATCACTCCGGAAGAGTGCAGGGTTGACGTCCTGCCATCTGGTAACTGGAGGCAGGCCCAGTGTTGCCCTGGCCTTTGTGTAAGAGGGCAGGCCCAGATCCCGGCCTGGCTGCAGGCAACTGGCCAGGTGGTCTGTGTGGAAAAACTTCAGTGGCCCAGGCAAGAAATCGGGATGAGATACCAAGTCTGAGGGAGCTCCTCTAGCCCATGCCCCAGGCTCCAATCAGCCCCAGGGGGACCTGAGCCATACAGAGGGAGCCATGGTCAGTAGGTCAGAAGCTCTCTTAGCAGCGAGAGAGTGCAGGCTCCCAGCCCTGGGCACCCCTCCCTGCCCAACTCTGGAGCTCCAGCTGAACTTCTTCCCAGGGGCCAGGCATACACAGCCTGCAGGGACAGCCTCAGCCTCACCTCATGCATCCTCAACCACCACATGGTCCTCTCACTCAGCGATCTGGGAGGCCATGCCCAGCAGCAGCGAGTCCACATCTTCAGCTCTTTGTACGTTTGGGTGCTTTTGGGGTGGGGAGAAGAGAGGGGCATGGCTAATGAGGCCAGCGGTTGGGCAGCCAGGCTCCCTCAACCCCACAGTTCATGTCCTGGGCCCACCCAGTCCTGCTATTTGCTCCCAAACTGTGGGGCCATTGCTTCTCTACAGGTTGATTCCCCACTCAGGGTGCGCAATGTCCCCATCCAAAGCTCATGCTGCTAGGACACAGGTCTCCACAAGCACAAGGAACCGAAAACTTTGCTTCTATTTTAGGAAACTCGACGGTATGGCTGACAAAGGCACTAGATCTAGGTCTTGGTCCTTGCTCGGTTAGTAACCAGCTGTGTGACAGGACCTCTCTGAACTCAGTGTCCTGCCCTTAATAAAAAGGGCCTTAGGGATTAATAAAATAAATAAAATAATAAACAGGTATTAGCAGGACACTGAGGTCTCTTTCAGCTCAGCTCCATGACTCTGATTCTATGCTTGCCTCTTCCCTCTTTCCTCCCACCGCCTTCCCCCTTTATGAACACTCTACACAAAGTATCTGATTTTGCTTTAAATTAATGGTCAATGGTCTTTACCCATACTGGCCTGGACAGATGATGCCTGGTAATCTCTCAGAATTCCTTTCTCCACCTTGCCCTCCCCACATGTTCACGTTCACACACTGCCCTGGTGTGTCTAACTGGGAAGTTTCCTTGGGGGCTGGGATGGCTGGGGTACTCCATTGCCTACAGGGGACCCAGAGTTGTCAAGGGAGAAGGAAAACCTAGAAGGAAGTGATAGATGTAGAGCCACATCTGCACAGGCCCCTGCTGTGCCTCACACAGCCCTGAGGTGGGCATGGAGGACTGACGTTTGATGGTGTATAGCTACCTGGTCATCTCAGACAGTTGGTAGGGGAGATGGCTGGGGTGCCCCAGGCTGCTTCCTCTACCCCAGCCCATCCCAGCTGGCTGCCTCAGTCCTACTGCCCCCCTTCACCACACACCCTCAGACACAAACACACACACACCACAACACACACACACCCACATATGTGCCCCCAGCCCTGACCTCTCGGCTCCAGTAGCTATTGCAGACCCAGAGAGCTCTGGAGACACTTGAGTTCCTATTGATGACCCCCTGGAAGTGGCAGCTGGCATTTCTGAAATGCAAGGAGCAGGCTAGTGGTGACCGAGGCTATGAAGCCCCAATGTCAGGCATCAGCTCTGGTGTCCAAGGCTAGAGCCAAGGGTCCAGGCTATTGCTTCCTTGAGGTGGTGTGTGGTCAGGGTAGGTCCTAAACAACCTGAATTTTTGGAAGCAATAAAAAATAAAAATAAAGAAAACATCAGACCAAACGTCTAAAAGTGTATCCCTTATTTCACCATGTTTCATTCTCTCTCTCTTCTTCTCTCTCTCAATAGAGAAAGAGACAGAGACAGATAAACTGTCAACTGAAAGAAAAAATGCACAACATAAGAGTTGTGAGTTTCAATTTTATTCAGGAAACTTACTGAGGACTATCGGCCAGGAAACAGCCTCTTAGTAGCTCTGAGGGGACTGCTCCAAAGAGGGAGGGGGAGAACCCAGTACGTATAGGATTTGGGCTAGGGAATGGGTGCAGTCAAACATACATTTCTGTAAAAGGTTACTGCTAGTCACAAGGATCAGATACCTCAGTAAATGGTTTTTGTGTTTTTCTGTGTATGGGAAGGTGTAACAATCTGGGTCCATTAAAATTTTTTCCTGAGATATCTCTAACTATCTAAGGGGTTTGTTTTCCCAAAGCACTGAGTGTCTTATCCTGTTTTTTGTCCCGAATTCCTTTTCAGGGTGTACTGTTAGAAGGCGACTGCAGTGGCTAATGACCTGATCCTTGTAGAGCTGGATGGTGGGCAACATTCTTTATATATCTTTTTATATATGTAAATTAAAACATTTTAAAAAGGATTATTAATCGTTCTTTTGAAATTACTTGTCTATGGATAACTCAATTACTACGATTTCTTGGCCATCATAAGCCATATCCAGAAATTGGTCCAGAGTAAAAATAATCTAATCCATGAACTGTTTTAACTTATAACGCAATTGTAAAAAAAATAGACTGCATGCTTTATTTTATATACATTTAATTTAATATGTATATTTTTAAGTTTATTTTTCATTATTTTGGAGTCAATACTTTTCTTCAGCTCTCACACATTTTTATTGTAATTCCCTCCAAAGGCTTATAAGCCCCACTTCCTGTCCTTATAGCTAAAAATATCCCCAGTGTAGTGTCAACACCTGAGGTTCAGACCTGCGGGCTTTGTGACTCACCCTCTGAACCTCAATTAGCCCGTCTTTAATTGGAGGATTAATATCTAAACCAGCTGCAGAAAAGTGGACATTAAGGTGCTCAAAAACCACAATGATGTATCTTTTTAAACAACTGTTGTTCTTCTTTCCCTCCATATTCACTGTTCTCTGGGGAATGGGCACAATTCTGATTGATAAGCCTGTCCTGAGGTCTCCTGAGGCAGATTTTTCTCAATATACACCTCCACCCCTCCAAACACACAAACATCTGAGCCCCTCCCTCACCTCATGTAGACGCCAGGGGGCACCATGGTGGAGAAGAACTGCTCAGAGGCCGCCAGGAACTCCGGAGAGATGCTGGGGTCCAGGAAAGGGCGGTACCCTGTCCACAGGGGTAAGAAGAGAAATAGGCTCTTTACCCTCACACACTCTCGTCACACGAACCCACCTGTCTTCTTTGTCCTATGGATCCTGACCCCCTCCCCCTCCCCAAACCCCCCCTCAGCCCAGGTGTTCCCCAAACTCCCTCACCTGTGTAATTCGGCGGTGCTTGCTGCAGGAAGCTGGGCAGCCACTCATACATCGCGATGTTCTGAGGGTCAAGAGAGGGGGAAATGGGAGGCCAGCGCTGGAGCAGCCAGGCCAGGTAGGATCTGAGCTCAAGGAAGGCTTAGGTGTGAGACGAGGACCAGGCAGGGGCAGTCACGGGAGAGACACTCAACAGGAGAGGGGCGGAGGTTCCCGTTGCCCACGAGGAACGAGGGCAGGGGGGAGGGGCAGCTAAATAACAATCACGAGAAAACCTCTGGTATAACTAGCGCTTTGCCTCCTTATCACTCTCAGGGGCTTTCCCTAGACGGTAGCTGTCTGGGGAGGGGTGTTTCTGGGTGGGCTTGTCCAAGGATGGAGGGCTCTGCGGGGCAGCGGAGTCTCCCGGGGACAAGCACGTGGGGGCAGGGCCGCGCGACCGACCTGGTAGGTGGCGATGACCCTCTTGCGCGCGTGCTGGAACAGCTCCTCGTCCCCCCAGAGCGGGTGCTGGCGGGCCAGCCTCTGCGCCCACAGGTTGTGGTAGCGGAACCAGAGCAGGCCCAGCGCCTGCAGGAAGGGCTCGCGGTTCCCTCGCTCCGCCCCGAAGGCTGCCCGCGCGGTGGGGACACAGGCGAGGAGTTGAGCGCGGGTGGGCTCGAGGGGGGCGCACCTCGCCGGCCCCCCGCCCGCGCCCCCGCCGCCTCACCGTACAGCCCCCGTGACCCGCGCCGTCCCGTGGCGGGGTCGGGCGCAGTCCACATGCGCAGCGGGTCCTGCGCGTTCCGGGGGAAGGCGGGGTCGGGCCCCGACGCCAGCTGCCCCCCGGAGAAGCTGCGCAGCTCGTCGCTCCAGGAGTGCGAGGAGCCATAGATGGCGCTGCTGTCCAGCCAGCCCGTCGCCTCGTTGGTCTGTGGGGACAGCGGGAGGCTGAGCCGGGGGTCGGATGGCCGAGGCGGCTCTGGGCGGGCGAGGGCCGGGCGGCCGTTGCGGGTGGTGGGAGCCTCTCAGCTGCCTCAGGTTCCGCCCCACCCAACCCCACCCCCCAAGCCGCCTGCCCCGCCCACCAGGTCCCGGGGGTTGCTGGGGCTCTGTCCGGTCTCGGGGTCCCAGCGGCTCCTCTGGAAGGGCAGCACCACGTCCCCGCTCTGGTCGCGATCGAACACGGGGTCTCCGGGCGGGATGTGGATGTTGAGGAACTCGGCCGGGCAGCCAGGCTTTTCCACGCTCACCACGTCCGAGAGCACGTGGTAGCCTGCCCGCAATGGGGGAAGGCGTGGGAGGCCCAGCTGAGAGCCAATGAGCAGTCCATCTAGACCCCCCGCCCGCTTCCCCTGAAGCTTCAAAAGACTCAGAAGCCATTATGGTCAAGTGTAAGCCTTGACCTCCCCACCCCTTCCCAAACCTGCATCCAAACTGTTTTCGTTGTAAGTTTGGTCTTCTCCTCGGTAACTGGGAGGTGCCCAGTGAATGTGCCTAAGGAGTGGGGCTGGCAGCACCGGCTCCAAAATGCAGCTGGGAGCAGCCTGCCCAAAGGGCCTGCCAGACTCAGTGAGACACTGGACGCTGGATAGCAAGTGTGGGCACCATGGATGGCCAGCAGGAGCTGAGCATTCCTGCTGGGAGCCAACAACCCACAGTCACTGCAGTCAGGCCCACCTGGCACCCCCATTTTGCTGGCCCACCCCCCAGCCCTCTTACCAGAATCAGAACCCTGCCCTGAACCTGTCCTAGGAGCCACAGGGCCAGAGCGAGAACAGAGTCCCCCCAAGAGTACCTACCAGATTATTTCCATGCTCCTCTAACCCCACTCCCATCAACAACTCAAGGTGACGCAGATTTATGCCTCCCCCAAGCAGACGTTCTCCCCCTGCTCCGACCCCTACCTCACCCCATTGCCTCCTCTTCCATCTCTCACCCCTTCTCTCAGACCCTCCATCACTCTCTCCCTTCATTCCCTGACTTCCCGCCTCAGACACAGAGGTGTCCAGCTGACCCCACTGGCTTCCCTTCCCCAGAGGTTGAGGCTCTCGTGGAAGAACACTCCCAGCACTGTGCGGTTTCACAGGGAGCCCTGCCCTGCGGGGCCCATCATGGCTGTGTTGCTAAGTGCCCGGGGGTTGGGCAAATGAGGCTCTCGGAAGGGCTGGTACACACCAACTGCATAGCTGGCTGGGATGAGGCGCTGCAGCCGAGAGCCTAGAGTAGGAGGGGTAGGGGCAAGGATGAATCCTCAGGGGGCTCCCTGACCTCTCTGCCAGGCTCCTTTCCACACCACAGATCCTAAAACCTTAGGAATGGGTGAGCCTTTGCTGGTACCTGCCAGCCCTTGCCCCTTAGCGGTGGCTACCTCCCTGACCCTGGGGCTCCATCTCCACTTGGCTCTCACCTACCTTTGCTGCCCCATCTGTGCTCCATGAGGTTGTTGTACCACCCACCAAATCGCTGCACCTCCCATGAAATGGGGTTCTGAGCTCCTGTGTGAGAACAGAGGGAAGGGGCAGCTGAGCAAATCAGTGCATGAGAGGACAGGCCAGCAGCAGAAAGTGGATACCCAGCACAGTGCAGGAGGTAGGGTATGGAGGGAGTTTACCCAGGGTATGTCCAAACTCAAGCCCAGTCTTTAAGCTGCTCACTGGACAACTATGGCAGGGAGCACTAAAGTGGTGTAGCCAGTGTGTGCTGATAAATGGCCTCAGAGAGGAAGAGGAGGGTGAAAGAGAACAGTGGCGGTGGCGCAAGGGATGTAGGAGCCTTCTACTGCCGTCACACCCGAACTCCCTGGGGGACAGGACAGAAACGGTTCCCAGCCCTAAAACATCATACAGTGCAAGAGTCAGCCACTCTTCCACCCAGTGAAGGACATGTCATTCTGTGACTCACCCCTGGGCAGGGGAACTATGGAGAGGGGCTTGGCTCTCTCTCGTTGAGCCGCTCTCAGAGCAAGGGTATGGGCCATGGGGCTGTGGCTTTGGGGCCTATTGCTACCCCTATCTTTCCCCCAGTTTCTTGGGTGAGATCAGGGACTGACTGGTCATGTGGATAACCTTGCTGCCTCCTCTTCTGGGGCATCATGTTCCCCATATGATTCCTCTATTGACCCTATTTTATTCTCCAAAAACTAGGGTCTAGGAGGAAGCACTCAGCTGTTGAGGAAAGAACTCAGGCAGTGGGGGCAGAAGAAAGGGTCTAGAATCAGTAGTGGAGCAAGGATCCTTCTGGTCAGTAGATCAGATGACCAGCCAGAGTCCTTTCCCCAAACTAGGAGGCTACAGGGCTTAGGCTCCCTGTCTGCTCACCTCAGAGAATAGAGAAAAGAAAAGGACTCTCATCAGCCAGAGAGAGACCCATTCCTCCGGTTGTCTCTCCACTCAGACCAAGGACAGGATCTCAGAGCTACTTTCCTGCCCCATGCCCTGGGAGCACGCACGTCAGCACACATCATACATACACTCGCCAGGGGGTCTGAGAGGGTAGATGACTCGGCCCTGATGTTTGAGCAAAGAACTCAACTAAGGATCCAGGACATGGGGCAGGAACTAGGGCAGCCACATACATGTGGTCTCTAAAATAAGATGAACCGGTGGCAGAACAAGGAGGCCGCCTCTTGGGTAGGGTATGGGGGAGAATACCTCTGGGAATAAGAGGCAAGAGCTGGGGAAAAAAAGGAAAATCCACGGCCAAGGCAAGGAGAGGACTGGGAGGAAAGGGAACGTGAGCAGCTTTGGCAAGGGAGAAACTGCACGGGCTGCCTCACCATGCTGTCGCCTCCAGCCAAGACCAATCACGCCACAGATTCTCTCTGCTTTCTCCTGGTGCATCCCCCACCCCTGATGATCAGAGACTTGCTCTTTTAACCTAATTTGTGGCACCTTAAGCTCACTTTTCTCCTCAGAGACCCAGACTACAGAGAATGGCCTCAGATTCTAATAAGAGACTGTCCAAAGCTGAAGTAACAAATGCTATGGATATATATATTTTTTTAATTTTTATTTTTTTGCCATGCCATCAGTTCCCCGACCAGGGATTGAATTCAGGCCACGGCAGTGAAAGCCCAGAATTCTAACCACTAGGCCACCAGGAAACTCCCGGATCTTATTGATTTTTGTTTTTGTTTTTATCATATTGTGTTAAAACACTGGTGACTTCCCTTTAGCTTTGGGTCCAGTCCAATACCAAGATCCTTTATTGTTTTGTGTGTCTAATCAGTCTTTTCCTCTATGGGGTGTCAGGGGTCCTTACTGTGTGAAGAAAGAGAGAAGACAGAAGAGATAGAAAGGGCCCCCAGTTTGTAAGGAATAAAACAGGAAGTGCTGACACAGCAGATGAAGGCTCCCTAATTCTGTGTATTTGGGGAAATTTTTCATTCCATTATCCATTCATCTAGTCAAGAAGCTTGAAATGAGCACCTACCATGTGCAGCGTGCTGGGTTAGCTAGGGACTAGGGATACAGAGGTGAATATGACACAGCTTCTGTCCTTGGAGGACCCCAGAGGATGCTGGGTTCCTCTGCTCCTAGCTGTGCTTCTTCTCCAATCTGTACTCACCCATGGGCACCCATGGCCCAACCAGGAGTGTCCATGTCAGAGCCAAGTGGAAGCCCATGATGAACATGTTAATAGGGCTCAGTTGTTAGAACACCCTAAAATGGAGACCCTAGAAAAAAGACAAAGGACAGAGAGAATGAGCTCCAGCAGTTCAGGAGAGTCAGGGCCTCTTGAGGCCCCTATGAATCAAGGCCTGGGACTGGGCCAAGACCAGAGTGTGTAGCAAATGGCAGGAGACTGACTCTCTCCCAAGAATCTTTCATTCACTCAACAAACACTTGATAAGCACCCACTACATAGCGGGCACTGACTTGGGCACTGGAGATTAAGTGATAAACAAAGCAGACAGAAATCTCTGCTTTCCTAGACTTTACTTTCTCAGATTAATTGGAAACCTTGCTTTGACTCAGCTTCCTGCCGTGTGTGTGTGTGTGTGAGTGTGTGTGTGTGTGTGTGTGTGTGTGTGTGTGTGTGTTCCTTGGACAGAGTCTTGCTTGGGGGCCAGAACACTGGGTTGAGGCCAGGATACTGTGCGGCTGACAGTCCACTAGTGTGATCTTAGGCAGGTCACTTATCTGCTCTGGACCTTGGTTTCCTCTTCTGGCTATGGGAGTACACATGCCTGAACTGTCTACCTCCTAGCCTGGTTGCCAGAATCAAATGTGAGAATGAGGTTGAATTCCAAGCAAGAAAAGTGACAGATGTTATGTAAATGTGATATAGAGAGGGTAGGCTGGAGCTTGGCTTCTCTGGGCAGACTCAGAAAGGATGCAGCCCCCGGTGCTTATGTGTTTGGGGCTGGCTTTCTGCTCTCTCTCCCAGGCCAACAAATCACCTAGGGATGACAGGGAAACAGAGGCAGCAGGGGACTCAGGCTGGGACTCCTGAGTGGCGCAAGGAGTGCCTAAGGCCAGTGAAGACCTCCTAAAGGCAATATGGAGAAGGGGGTGGGGTGTGGCTGGGGAAGTGTCTAGCAGAGGAAGGTAGGAGCTCAGGGAAAGCCTCATCCCTAGCCAAACCCTCAGGGCTCCTGGACAGGTTGTCGTCGTCTAGTCACAGAGGAGGGAACCCAGAGGATGATCTCCTCCCCGACTTGACATCTCCCATTAAACAAATGAAAAAAATGTAGGCCCAGCATAATTCAAAAGCTCAGCATTCCACTCACTCCACCCCAGTGAAGGGCTTTGGATGGTTAAAGGCAAAAGGCTGGACATGCTGAAGTGGCCACAGTGGTTCTTCCCTGACCCAGGATGTCTTGCCCCTTCCCCCCACCACTATGTCTTCAGGAGTCTGGGCCCCAGCCAGGTGTACCACTCAACCAGTAAAAGCATGCAGTGAGCTTTCAGGCCAGGCTGTGGGGAGAAACTGAAGCGGAAGGTGGACATGCTTCATAACCACTCCTTTTGGGTGGGTAGCCACAACCATTTACGCAGCATCGCTGGTTCCGTAACTTCCCAACAGCCTTGAAAAGAAAGCACAGCCTCATGACAAGGCAGTGAAGCCCCCGGGGCTGTGGTAGAACCAGGAGGGAACACAGGTTGCCTGGTTCTTTCCCCACATGGCTGCTTTCCAGGCCCAAAGCCCTAGTGTGGTGACCCTGGGCTAGGGAAAAGATGAGCCAGCTCCATAGGTAGTCCAACGTGGTCCCAAGGGAGGGCTGAAGGGGAAAGCCTGGACTCTAAATGCCCAAAGTTCCCTTTTTGGCATGATGTGCTGGAACCAGGAGGAGCTCCAGAGAGAGCCCCTAGGCCCAGGCAAACTAGGCCACCCCACATTCTCAGGTCCCAAAGAATCCAGTCTCTCCAAACAGTCGTTGAGGGGGGTGGGGGCGGAGGATAGGACCTCACAGGCTCATTTTAGCCTCAGGTTAAGAACGGAGGCGCAGGGGGGCCAAAGCTAGAATTCCCCTTCCCTCAAAAACGTGGCGGCGCTGGGGCACACGCCACCGCAGTCACCTTCCCTGGAGCGCCCGGGCCCGCGGGCGGGGGATGCCCTCCTGGGTCTGACCTGTGGCCGCGGCGTCTCTCGAGCGCGGACGGCGGATTGTCTCCCGCCGGGCTCACAGCTGGGCCCGCGACTTGCGCTCGGGTCCGTCTCCCTCTCCAGCTCTGCGCCGGGGCTGCCGGGGCTGGGGGGTGAAGAAGGGACCACACGTCCCAGTTCTCAGGCGGGACGAGGCGGGGCGGGGCGGGGTGGGGTGGAGCGGAGAAAAGCGAGCGCGCCGGGAACCGCCGAGGGGCTCCGAGGGGACCCGGGCGCGCAAGGTGAGACCGCACGGGCTCGCAAGGCTCAGATGGGGTAGATGTCCAGTCCGTGGCGAGGCTCGGCTAATGCGGCCGAGTGAACGGCGAAAAGGGCAAGTCCGCCTCTACCGGTCTGCTGGGGCTGGGGAGAGGGCAGAAGAGGGGGAGAGGGTGCGAGGAGACGGGGGAGGCGTCCCCCAAATCCTCTCCACGCGGGCGGATCTGGGCTCTAAGACCAAGAGGATCGGTAAGCGCCTGCAGACCAGGCCACGCGTTCGAGCAAGGCATCCGTCCTAAGACCCTTTAAGAGTCCGTGGTAACACCCACCCCCCGGAGGTCCTCGTGGGATCTCGGGGGTCTCACCGCCCTCGAGCGCCTCCCGCGCCCTGCCGGACCCCGGACTGCATCGCTAGGTTTGTGCTAGAACTGCCCGGGGTTGTGGGCAAGGGGCGAGGAGAAGCAGGGGTCCGAGGGATGGCTGCGTAGGACACAATTCTCGTGCACCCGTCCTTTTTCTGTCCCAGGCTGGGTGGGGGCGGGCGCAGCCCTCAGAGCCTCGGGTGCGGTCTGAGTAGGTTGAGGCTACTTGGAGTAGGGGGCTGAGGGAAGGGCGGGAAAGCATCCCGGACCTGGTTTGTCTGGTCATAGTCTAGTACTTAAGTGAGTTAGAAGAGTGGGGGTTGGAAGAGAGCCCCGCCAGGAGAAAGGGCGTGCGCTTTGGGCGACAGAACGTCCAGACCTGGTTCCTTCTCTATCCCATCCCTGGGGGCGCTGCGTGTGAGGTTCCACCACGAGGAGGAGAGCTGCGCGTGCTGCGAGGCACGCAGTGTTTAGAAGAGACGAAGGTAGGAAACAGCGGTCCGGGTTTGAGTGGCGGGGATGCGCCTGCTGGGGTCTGTGCGGTCCGGGCGGGTTTTGGAGGGTACCTTGAAGTGTTGTCCCCGCCCCGGCCCCTAGAGGCGCACTTCCTGCATCCGCCCAGACCAAGTTCAGATCTAGTGGGAGTTCAAAAACAAAGTATGGTGAGAAACTAAGAACAGGCAAACAAACAAAACAACAACAACAAACTTAATAAGGTCCCAAGGTTTATCTCTGCTTAACTGGAGTCTAGATAGTTTGACTGGCGTGATTCAGCACCCCAAGGCTCCTCACACACCACAGCCCTTATTAGGGATTCCTACCCCAACGTGCTTTTCAGATCTTGTTCTCTTTCTCCACTTAACTCCCACTTTGGTGCAAAAGCACACATACACACGCCCACACACCTTCTTGAAGAAAAGAGACTGGGACAGGAGTTCTGGACAGGGTCCCCTTACCTATCCAGAGCCGTAAACTTTGAATGGGGTCCACCCTAACCAGAGAAATAAACCATCACATTCTAGTAGGTCTGTATCACCAATAAGAGCTCTTGGCAACTCCAGGAATGTCACCCACTCCCCCTTTGTAGAGAATTAGTAGTCTTTATGGGTTCTAGAAGAAGGGGAAGGCAGTCAGGGGAAGACTTCAGGAAGAAATCCCTGTGAAGTTACCAGAGGCCACAGAGCATTAAGAAAGTACATAAGAACTTTGAATGCTGAAGTCTGGAGCTTGTACTAGGCTATATTTCCTTAAAAGATTGTAGCCTTATTTCTTGGCCATCCCTCATACACACACAGGAACCCCACTTCTCCTGTGGTAGGTAAGGAATGGGTAACTGTATCTGAAATGCAACTGAGTATGAGAAATGCTTTAGTATTTCAAGGGAGTTCAGAAAGGGAAAAGGTGTCCCTTACCTCTCCAGGCCAGGTGAGAAAGGAGAACCCCCAAAGTGTAGGGATTGGCCCACCCTGTGAGAAAGCACCTCAGTTTTGTCACAGGAGCCTCTGATGCAGCGTTTTTGTGTCTAGAGGTCTGTTACTGGGAACTCCTTCCTTCTTGTGTCTGTATTTCTGTTTATATGAACCTGCAGGTGTATGTCTGACTGTATCCTGTGCTTATTTATATTAGTATATATTTATATCAATATAACAATCATGGTAGTCAGCTAGGGG